GTTTGTTTTGCAAGTGAAATTCGCTCAAACTCTGTACATGCAATGACTGCAACCATGGAGTTATGTATATGCAATGACTGCAAGTTTCACGAGCTTCAGGCACTACATACGGCCAAAGTCGCCAGCGGCATCGGCTCCACCCGGTCGGACCGGTCGCAGTAGCTTCGTTGATTTTCGCCAAATTTTCGCCCATCACGCATGGACTTTCAGAGCCTCTTCGAAAGCAGAGCAATAGTGATTGCATGCGTGCACTTCGCCAGCACACGTGTGCCCTCTCTTGACAAACCTGATCCTTCAATAAGAACTTTCCAGCTTATGTCGTGGTGAACGATTTGCCATGAGAAAGGCTACAGGGGGCCTGTGGCCTAATGGATAAGGCGTTGGTCTTCGGAACCAAAGATTGCAGGTTCGAGTCCTGCCAGGCTCATGTCTTTGTTTGACATGCAGGTCTGCCCACAGGGTCCAAAGTACCTGTATAGTAAAATGTAGGGTTTATATATCAGGAATCCTGATGGCTGCAAACTCACACTCCAGAGGCTTCAAACACCACCCTGGTGTTGGAATTGAGATTGGGGCGCAGAGCGGCTGGCATTTGAAGCCTCGCTGAGGAGGGCTTCAAAGTCGTACCTCATAGGCCTCATCAAAGAGGGTCCAGTGTTGGGGAATTGCATGTGAAGTCTCGCTGAAGCCGGCCTCAAACTCATCTCCTGTAAGCTTCAAATACCATCCGAGTGTCGGGGACTCCGTTTGGGGCCTGCCTGGCTGCGACCTCCAACTGACATGACATAATGCCTCACGAAGCACGCTGGATTCAGAGTCCGAGGCTTCAAAGTGCTACCTCAGAGGCCTCATCAAACTGGGTCCAGTGCTGAGGAATTGCATGTGAAGCCTCGCTGAAGCCGGTCTCAAACTCATCCCCTGATGTGAGCTTCAAAAACCACCCGAGTGTCGGGGACTCCGTGCGGGGCCTCCAACTCACATGACACAGTGCCTCACGAAGAAGGTCCCGCGCGGATTTGAACCGCGATCGCTGGATTCAGAGTCCAGAGTGCTAACCGTTATAAACAATACGACGAATAATGACGAATTGGTTGAGGGCAAGGGCTACTGACCTGCGGCTTCGTGCAAGAAGGCCTCGCTACACATTCGTCGATGCATGCTTCTAGGTCTAGGGTTTACATAGCCACAGCGCTCTAGAACCCCTAGCCATAATCGTTCTTCGCCAAGTCATTGCAGCAGACCCCAACAGCTAAGACTGAACAGATGAACCTATAGAATGCATCAAGACCTGAAACCCCACAAACTTGAACCCTCAAAACTAAAGGCTCGAAGTGTAGCAAGCCAAAGCTGAGGAAATGTTTGAACGCGTAGCGGGCTTGAGCGCTGCAAGGCCTCCTAACGAGCAATCCAATGCGGCGGCCACCTTTTCAATCAGCTCGCTATCGCGTGCGCGGGGCCAAATTCCGACAGACAGCACGACCTGGCGACATAAATGGAGTCCGGGACCTTTCCGATCTGTAGGCGTCTTCGACAAATTACGCACGTATTACCTTCAATGTAAGATTGTGTGAACAAGGCAGAGAACAACAAGAAAAGTGTTATGTAGTGATGCTACAAGTCCTGGATATGATGACAGCCGCTGTGCCTTCTGAATCATTGCTGTTCGCTTTTGGTTAATCGCCCATCGTCCTCGTCGTTTGCTGCTTGTTGTTCGTCGTGGCGGCTGTGGCGGCGCCAATATTCACAGCATGCATCACCCTGGCGCTAAAAGCTGGTGCCATCGTACCTGATTTGCGTTGCTTTCAATTTCCATGAGCAGTCTACAATCTGGTCTCTTGCCATAGCGCTTTGCAGCAGGCATTATGAATTTTCGCAGCGGGCTTACCTGTCAGACCGAAAAATTATCGACTCGAGACTGCCCTATGCCAAAGTCGCGCTTCCCGACCCCACCAAACCCAAACCCTGGCAACAAATAGGTATAGCTCAGCTAACTTGTCCGGAAGCTTGCTATGGACCGGAAGAGCGATGCGTATCTTCTTGAAGCGATATTTCTCAGCATGTGCCAAATCCCTGACACCCGACCCTAAGCTCTCAACTACCCCGTCTGAACCGTGCAACCCTGCACCCTAAACCCGAAACGCCGAAACCTAATTCGTAAATCCTCCGAACCGAAAACCCCAAACCCACAATGAACCATGAGCTGCCGTCCTGGAGCTTCTTGCAGCTCGCTTCCTCCCAAATTCCGAAACCACAATCTCTACAAAATGTCCGCAAGCTTCGCGGTTGGGGGATTCAGGGTTCTAAAACTTTGAATTTATCCCACAAGACGTCTAGACACTCAATGACACTGCAAAGCGGCGTTCAGACAGTGTAGGTTCACAAGTTTTTAAGGTTCCGGGAAGCGGAGCCGACGAATTTTGCTTGCAAGTTTTAGGGGGCACGGGATCTTTCGTGAATTATGGCTGAGGCCCCTGCTTTGTGAGGCAGCACAGTTTAAGGTCGCAGACTGTCTCAACTCGCCACTGGACCACAGTTCCTCCTCCGGTGGCATTCGAACCTTGAGCACGCTCCCTGCCAGGTTCCGGGCCTCCTGGCTTTCTTCCGAAGTTGATGCCATGGCTCTTGCCGATTCGGGGTTCCTCGTTCACTTGTTGAAAGCTGTGAAAGCTTAGAATGCGAGGAGGTGGACCTGGAAGTAAGTGGCAAAGTGCCGAAGGTGTCTTGAAGGTGAGCGATATCTGAGGACGAGCCAGAGACCTTAAACAGCATACGGCAAAGTACAAGGCAGCAGCAATTTTGAAGGTTCCTTTAAAGGGGGCTATAAGGACTACTATAAGGGGAAACATGGTTATTATGGGGGTTTAGTCTACGAAGCAATGCCATGCACTTCGTGTAATTTGAGCCGGAGCTGCTGCGATGCCAAGATGGTAGTGGCAAGATAGTAGAATAGTAGGTAACCTTTAGCCTTTCTTGTGTAGTATAGTCCCTATATAACCCGGATATAACCCAAAAGGATAATGTGCAAGACGTAGAGTAGGGCCTTTGAACGTGACGAGGTCTGACGAGGTCTGCACAAGCATATTCCAAGCCCTGCTGCGCAGCTCGTCCGAAGAACGCGACGACAGTAGGCTTCAGCTCTTCGACCAATCCATCGCTCGCTGCACAGGCAAAGAACCGCCTTTTCTACCACGAACCAGCTGCGTGCCCTCATGTTCTCCGGACACTCCTGTGACAGCAAGTCTAGGAAGAAGTGGCAACTGTACGTACTGCTCGTTCGCCATCTTTCCAATAGCTTGGTGACCGCGATGCAAAACCCTACCAGCAAAATACTGCTCGTTTAGGATCGTTTATAGGGATACAGTATCCATAGGATGTGCCGGATACCCCAGCAAGAATCAGCATTAATTAAGGCCGCACGGTTGGCCTCGTATTTTCTCGCATGGGAACTATTAACCAGCACTGTGTGGAGCGGCTGGGTGACTTCGAGATTCGAGGCGTCGGGTCTTGCATCAAGCATGCATGGCTCATTGGCTGAGCCGTGATTGTCTGAATTGTTTGGCGCGCCAACATGCTTCCATAAACATCAACAAAGAAAACAAGCAGCAAACGGCAAGGGCCGCGTAGTAGCACAGGAACAAGCCGCAGACGGCAAGAACCAAGTAGTAGCATAGAAACCGAAGCACACGGAAAAGACCTGTGGAAGCATCACGCGTCAACGCTTGCAACTCTTGCGCCAAAGCCTTGCAAATCGAAACTGCATAGACTCTGCAGTTCATTAGGCGATAGACCAGGAGGTCCAGGAAGAATCGCCAGGCTACTGCGTGTAGATTTCCTTGACTTTCTAAGCTACGCTCGATGCTGGCAGGGTCTGCCAGCAGAATCTCACTGTATGCCGCAATCGGGAAGAATCGAGAACCTGCCGGCACACCCCAGCGTCTGCTAGTGCATTGCCTCTTGGCAAGAATCGAGTGTGGGAGAAGACCGAGAAGTGTTTGAAAGGAGCCGGGTAATGTGCCTTGGCCGCGGAAGTCAACAAAGAAAGAACAAACGGACTGCGGACTCGCCTGGTACATGCTGCATCAGCAACCTCGGCTGATGAGTAGACTTCGGTTGGCTTTGGCATGTTCCCCTGTGTCTAAGTGCCTGATGTCAGCATTAGGCCTGCGGCCAGAGGGGAGAAGAGATGCAGTCTGATACAGTTACTGCGTGGGCCTCCGATCTACAGACGTCTCGCTGCAGCTCAGCAGCCACCACCCTGCAAGCCATCCCACACGACGTTGAGCATCCGATCCAGCAGAACAGACCGCGAGCATGGCCCTAGAAGTCCGAGAAGCGTCTTGGCTCCCCTCGAGTCCTGCCCATGCCAAAAACAAGCAGAATTGCACACATGATCAATTTTTTACTTGGACCCCACCACTGCGACACCAAAGTGCACGGCAACTCCAACATGCATGTGCTTCGATCCTAGAATGGCGTGCGCAGCCATCGTCAAAGCATGCGACATCTTTGATGCATGCTTCTCGCTTACCGATGCATATCTCTCCAGCCAGTCATCACCATGGCTCTGACGGTGGCACGGAGCGATGGCACCCGCGGCCTGTTTTGCGACGTATAGGAAACGGTGCAAAGAACGGTCACCGAAGAACTCTGCAAGGAGCTCGTCAAAGTTGCAGGACACTTTCACAAATGCAGGCTTGTTCATCTCACCCCAGAGGCTCTTCATAAAGAGATGAACCGGGATCAGCAACTCGTCACAGACGAGTTGGTCGTGCAGCTGCTCATCTGTATTCCGCAGGCAGGCCAGAGCCCAAAGTCCTGGGCTGTCCCTCCAAGCGGCTTCGTCAGTGACACGCCTGAGGTTGCTGCGCAGGAATGAAATGACAGGATGCACCATTCTTGGCAATTGTTCGCCGCAAGCACGCAATGCGAGCTGGCTCGTTTGGGCCAAAAACTCCTTCGCCATCTGCCCCATTTGACAGCGGAGGTTGTCTGCGTCTCGCAGCAGATTCTCTGTCGTGGAGCGTTGTCGACACCAAGCTCCCACGCGCATCAGGTCCGACAAAGCCTGTAGTGGCGAAGATTGCAGGCCTCCGTCAAACCAGTGGAAGACCCGAAAACATATGTCCAGGATGCTGACCAGGCGTACCTGAACAGAAGACCCAAGTTAAAACAAAGCTGTACCTTCCCTTCGAAAGCATATTGAGGTGGAGTGTTGTTTGCATGCTGAAGCACTCGCTCTTGGAGCTCTGCATCTGACGGCGCATCGAGGCTGTCATGGATTGTCATTAAAGATGGACCTGGACAACACAGGTACGGAGGCGGCACCACTTAGCCGACTCCCTCTCTCATCCTGCCCGGCATCTTCAAGTTGCAACCGCTCACACAAAGATCGCTCTGCAGTGCATGCAAGCCACAGTTGGAGGGCGCGTACGGATGCGTCAAGAAGTTTGCACACTGGGCTGCCGTCCGAAGGCCTTAAGGTCGTGACTTCCGAAGCAGGCATGTGGCATAGGGCAAGCTCGTGAAAAGCTGAGTGCGAGGCTCTCCCCGAACAGGTCACCAAAGAGCTTGCGTCGCAAATCGTCCGGATCAAAAACATGGCCGTGAAGTTCCTTCTCAACGCATGCTTCGTACTCCTGCATCCAAGCAGAATCGCACTCTTCAGTCTCTTCAGTTCGCGAGGGGTCGGCAAAGGTGGCGATGACTTTGCCGTAGAAGACGCTGGGCTTGCCACCTACAAATCTTAGCATGAGGCACAACAGGAACCTCCCAGCTTCTTATGTGAAGCTGCAGGCTCCTGAGCAAGAGTGTACAAGTCATGGGGCAAAGCATGGATCTTGGCAACGAGGCAATCAATACTCAGGTGCTGGGCAAGTGGAAGACCCACAACAAAGAAGCAGAAAGAGTCTCCGCTTACGCCTACACAACATTTCACCCAGCCAGTTCAACCTGTTCTTCACGGACTTAAGCACACTCAGCAGGCATGCAACTGCTTCTCTGTCTGACACGCGAAGGCATTCCGCCCCATACCCTTTACCGTACAAGTTCATTGAGTGTCGTCGTGCCATTCCAATGCCACCGAGACACTGACGGAACTGACCAAGACGTCGCATTTCCTGAGCTTCCAAACTCGAAAATCAGATCAAGAAACCTCAACTGCTGTGCATCACAACACATCGACTTTGAAAACACTGCTTCTTCAGCATCCTAGTGTCTTTGCAAGATGGTGCTGCGCGGTGACTGGGACAACTGCAGACAAGCGGAGATGCAAAGGGGTCACCTCAGTCGTCAACGACATTTGTCTGCGCATGCTTCTGCAACACGCGAGGGAGTTTGTGCGGTCGGGCTGCTAAGAAGCGGCGCAACGATGATACAAACTCTTCGGCATCGCATAGGAGGGAAGCAGTCGCCAGTCGCTCTAGACTCTCTCCTGAAGGCTGCCAATCTGAATGACGTTCGTCTGGCAGTCTGCATCGTACTCGGCACTCAAGCGCGTGGAACAGGCCCGAAGCCAGATCGGTCCATCCCTCATACTGTGCTTGCTCTACAGAAGATGCCATTGCTGCTTCCAGATGCGGAGTCAGCTGCTCAAGCAGGTCTTGCAGTCCCTCCTGCAAGTTGCTCTGAAGCCACGGCCTAGATATCGTTGGCAAACACCCCTCACCACTCAGGCCGTGCAAACCCAGCCAGGCCGGCACAATATCCTCACCACAGAGCACGTCCAAGAACCCAACGGCAGCATCCTCCGACCCATGAATGCAGTCCAATGACTGGAGATACAGCCTTCGCAGCTTGGATACGTCGCTGGCAGCGCAAATTGACATGCACAGATCCTCGTGCAAACAAAGAGTCACGAGTAACTCCTTGTCAACTTGGGCGAGAACTTCAGATGGCAAATCTGAGCGAACTTCTTGCCAAAGGACTGGTGCCGTCGGTGGTGACTCTACGGCACGCACAGCATATGCTGCTGCTTGGATGAGCCATGTTGCATATCCGTGTGCCACTTTCACAGCTGCACCGCTGTTGTCGGACTGACTTGCTTCACCAGCGTATGTCGTGTTGAAGTCAACCTTTGAGTCAACTGCGGAAAGTCCTTTGCACAGCCGCACGCAGACTTCGTCGCATGCCTTGGTGAGTCTCTCCATGGATTTGGCCCCAGACGGAGACTTCTTCGAGGCAGAAGCAGCGGTGACAAGGATGGGAGTGAATACGAACTTCTTCAGAAGCTCAACCAGCTCTTCGGGTCTTAGGATGCCCAAGATTCCGAGTGTGCGCAGATCGCCTGAAAGACCTGCCAGGCCGGAAGCTGGAGGCTTCGCTGCCGGGACTCCTCAACAAGGCTGTCAAGTGCCAAAGAGACAGACATAGCTCAGCGACACGGAGCCAGGATGCTGCTTTCAAGTATAATATGCAAGGCAGTGCCCAACACCCAAAAGACAACCGCCCCGGCACCTAAAATTCAGGCTCCGGAATCAAGGAAACCGGGCCGTCCTTCAGGAAGCTCCAGAGAGCACTGAACATCCTTCAACAAGCCTACGAAGTCATTCTCACGCCAGGTGCTGCCCACAAGCCGCATGCAGACTTCATGGCCAAACTTGGTCAGAAACTGTTCCACTCTGCCTTGCAGAGCATCCATCGAGAGCCTGGCCAATAGTCGGGAAGGAGACGCTGCGGAGACAGAGTAGGCAAGAGGTCTTAAGTAAGTAGGACGGGAGGGATTCGTGCGAGAGTATGCTATGGATGCTACGAAGATTCAATACGAAGAAGCGAAGGTCCCTGACTCTGCATTTGTACACCCTTCAGAATCTCAATAGCAAGGCCTCGGTAGCAAGGGCTTTTGAATGCTGGAGCAGTCAATCTTCCGCAAAAGCTTGGCACAGCTGGAGAGCTGCAACTGGAGTTTAGAGAAGCGGTGAATCGCGGCGCCACACTGCAGAGGCTTCGACGGGCCATGGGCGTGTCCTGAAGGCCCGTCAATGATAAAGAACTCGTCGGCCTCATCACCATCCTCATCAACAAACCTTGCAGCAGGATCTGGCTGCTTGACGTCCTCCGGTTGTGACTGCTGGATCAAGCTTTCCGAGGCTGCAGTCGTTGCGGCTTTGGGTGTCAGAAGCTCTGCACACGTTTCAACCACCTGGCATGCCATCCCTGCCAGGACGACGGCCTCTTGAGAATCTTCGAAACGAAGAAGCTGCATGATCTGATATTGTTTCTGCATCTGCGGAACAGCCTCATTCGCTGGCAACTCCACGTTCAGGAGCTCAGAGGCAACCCGAGCCAATTGTGCAACATCCATGAGAAGCCAGGGCTCAGCCACGCTGACGTACTCTTTCTCCACATCTTCACTGAGAACTTCCTCGCGACGCAGTGCATGCTCCAGCTCAGAATACCAGCTGCCACCATTCCCAACGACAGCTGCAGCAAAGGCGTCGCAAGCAGTAGCTGCCTCCTTATGCACCCCGCATGTGGGAGAGTGACTGCTGACGATTGCATAGAGAGGCGACAGCAGCTGCTCCCTCAAGCACCTATGCGTCTCTGTGGGATCGATCATAGCAGCAAGGTTAATGATCCAGGCAGCGGTTTCTAACTTGTCCACTGCATCTCTGTCCGGGTGAGTTCTGACGCTTGGCGATATATGCTGCTCGATCTTGTCCAGTGTGCTGCGAAGCTTGTGCACGTCCCACTCTCCCGTGACAGGGGCAGACGTGCGCAACGCAGCTACTGCATCACCCAGCTTTCCCATGACTTCGGCTTGGTCGATGAAGCCGTTCTCAACTTTGCGGAAATAGCCTATCTGGTGGTGAAGCTTCTCAATCTGCTGCTGCCTGTCCCTAACTCCTTTGCAACAGCGCCAGAAGCATTCCACCAATTCAGGCTTCGGGTCCTTGCAACAGGCAGCAGCTAGCTAAAAGGGAATGACATGACTGAGTGATAGTCTGATAGCCGTCAGAAGAAGAAGTCTCATCAACCTCTGTGCAACTCAGATCCTCCACGCTCTTCACGCCATCGGCGCCGAAGTTTCTCACGCGAGCGGTCTGTCTGCACACATCCAGCTGACGCTCCTGCGTGCCCTTAGAAACGCGGGCTGTTTCGTCCTGCAAGAACTCCACCGCACCTTGCAGCCAGTCATGGAGCAGGATCACATGCAGCTGCAAACACTTCGCTGCATGCTGCCTTGCATTCTGATGCGACAACTTTATAACCCATTAACATGCCCACACCGCGCCTGTCACCGCAAGGGATCCGTCCGTGTCCTTGCGACCGTAGGTCCAGAACAGGCACAAGCGCCTCGCAGTGTCGATCTTGGCGACAGTCGGGCAAGGCTCAAGACCAAGTAGCACATGGGCTTTCTCCTGCGCAGGTGTCGTCACCACCGCCACCCCAACGTGATCTTGCCCACAAACTTGTTTGCAACGCTTCAACTAGCCTTCCACAGATTTAGTGCAAGAGATGCAAACATGGTTCTTCTTCTTATGCTTCCCGACTAGCACTTCCAAATGACATGTCAGTGTCCTTCAACAAGGCATGCGCTTCATCCTCTTGCTTGACAAGCTCCTCCAGCTGTGCATCATTGTGGAACTCCGCCAGGAATGCAACCAGAACAACCAGCTTTTCACATGGCGCTTTGGCGGCAAATTTGCGGGCATCGACCTCAGCCATCTCCAGGGCTCTGGCGATGTCAGCCTGTCCGAGTCCATGCTCTTCAAACGTCTTGTCCTTGCGCCGCTTCTCTTTGTCAGTCCTGATGATATCAAGGTAGACCTGCAGCTGTTGAAACCTGGGCACGCATGGGCTTAACATTTCATTTCATCCAGAATGCCGAGACTCGAGCTTCAGGTCGATGCTAGTGACGGGGGCACAACTGTCTCACAAGTGCAGACCATGTGACTTGGCTTGATATTCTTCTTTGTCAGGTCCGGCATGCTTGTCGGGATGAAGCTTCTTGCTGGCTGCTCTGTAGTACTGATTGATCTCCATGTCTGTGATGTGGTCATAGTTGCCTTGCTTCGGTCGAAGGGGCTCTAACCCAGACTCCTTGCCTAGGAAAGCATAAGCTCGCTCCAGCTTCTCATCATCCGTCGCCTCCGCAAGATATCGAATGAAGTCCTTGAGTGTTGGGCGAGAAGCAAGCCACTCACCGAGAACACCGCCAACCACGGTTCCGACGGCGCCACCAACGGCCACGACCGCAGCACCCAGCGGTCCAAGCATTGCACCAAGTACAGAGTAACCACAATAGCCACCGAAACCGGTGCCAGCACCAGCAACTGCAGCGTTCCCTAAGTTGCACATCAAACGATTCCAGGTGATCTCGCCTTGCATGTATAGACGAATGCTGCGAACCGCTTCTGCGCCAATCTCGACTATGGGCACGATGACACTGGCGGCGGAGACCATCATCCTCTTGGAGGCTACCCGGAGTGCCCCCCACACGACTATAGCTTTACAAGTCTCGCCCGCGATTTCTGTGGCTTTAGCTTTCTTCGTCTTGGTGGGGTCACGCAATGCTGCCAGTGACTGCTGCGCTGCGTTGATGACAGCAAAAGCAGCTGATCCACTCCCAGCCACCCGACGCTCACACGTCTGAGTGACAACAGACATGCCCCATGAGAACACAGCACCCTTCGCGGCGGCTTTGGCACAGTCCCTGTCCAACTCACCCCCGTTCAAGTAATGTCGAAAGGCGCCTCCCACACCTCCAGCAATGCCTTGACAGGAGTGCGACGAAAGGCTTGTTTTCGTAGCGCTCGTCTCGTCAAGTGTGATCTCTTTCTTGCTTGCATCGTAGGATCCCTTGCCACTTCGCTCGGTTCGGAGGAAAAGGCCCTCATCACTGACAGTGACGGCACCATTGTCAAGCCGCGCTGTCTTGCGACGGTAATCGACCAGGCAAGCATCGTACTCCTCTTGCAAGCCTTGTTGGGAATCCAGCTTCAGCGGCGACCTCTTTCCATCTTGAACGATACCGGAACGCTGCTCCACGACATTTACCGTCTTCTCCTTTGTGAAGACTCCCCATGAACGCTGGTAACTGTCGCCCTGTGCGGTGAAGTGTTGCAGAAGTGCGCCTGAGCTAGTGTCTGACTTCGCTTTACCTGCAACGCTGATGGACCGAATGACGCCATCTATTTGCTCCTCTGTCGTACAAGTCATCTGCTCCCTGGAAGAGGACCAGAAACCAGCTTGCTGAGGATGCTCATGGTTTGTAACCACAACTTCGCGAGCTCGGCCATAGCACGTGGACATCTCTGCGATACCATACTCGTCGAGCATCACATGTTGGTGAGAGCCCATCACATCCCTTGTTCGAGAGGTTGTGCCAGAGGACTCCGAAGACGAGATCTTACCGTGGCCAATCTCCTCTGCGCCCCTGGTGGCCAAGACTTGGTACTTGGCTTCGTGCCCTCGTTCGATAGCAATCTGGGAGCGCTTGTCCGAGACTCCAAACCCCTTCTCCATCAAGGCTTTCTGATTGTCCTTGAGCAGCAGTTTTGCAGGATTTGTGTCCCCAATCTCATGTAAAGCGTCCTTCAGCAGGTTTCCTGTGGGAGCGTGGATGGCAGCTTCTTTCACTCTCTTTGCAAGGCTGTCAGCGAAGTTCTTGACGCTCCGATTGCTGACACCTGCCCTCTGAAAGGCTGCTTGGACGTCTGCGGCTGTGGAGTCCTGGGAAGAGGATGTCACGAGAAGATTCCGGGAGGATCTACTGGGAAGCGCCTCCTTTAGCTTGGCGGCTTGTGCACCGGAGATTTCCAGCCTCGATCGTCCGGCATCCAGCGCATGTGTTGTGGAAGCCTCATTCTGGAAAGTCATCCCATGATCAGTGATGCTACCGTCACATCCCGTCACCTCAGAGGACATCAAAAAGCTTTCTGTGATTCGCTTCTCGGACCCCCACTGCACCTGTCCGGTCTCAGTGGACACGCTCTGCTGAGCAGTTTGCGTCAGTACCTGCTTATCGCCAGAGAAAATCCCTGTCACTTGGCTTCGATCCTGGCTGACCTCTGTCGCAGAGTCACTGAAGCCCAACCAAAGGTGCTCCGCCGACACCGTGCATTGCTCGCCCTTGCAGTCGACACCACCCAAGCTGCCGCCTTGAAACTCGTGAGTCTGTGAGCCTTTCCGAATCTCCTTTCGGCCAGTTGAGAAGTCGCCAGTGCAGCCGAGAACGCTTGCTTGCAGCTTGTGGCCTTGCAACGTCTGCCTTTCGAAGTCCTAGGCTGGCGCAGTGAGATGGAAACACAAGCTCGGAGCTCAGGGTCTGCAGGATCTAGAGTCTAGAGTTCGAGAATTCAACCAAGAGTCGAAGGTCTTCTTTGACCCGATCTCCTGCCTGAGTTTGCGATTCTCCTCCATTGTCTTCCCAAAATTGCTTGAAAAGCCGGCCACGCCGTGAACCTCCCCCTCCAAGAAAAGTCCTGAGTGTGGCATTGAATCTGATCCTACAGCTATCTATTTTCATGCTGAAGCACTACACGTCTTCGAGATCTGGCATTGAATTTCAAACATACAGTCACATAGTCACTCAGCTTGAACGGGCCATAGCAGCACGCCTGAACATGCGCGGAAGACCTGCTTGGAGTGTAATCATTCGAGAAATTCTACTGCGGCCAAGAGTCCACTCGATTCTTTCACATTGACCAGGCGTCCTGATACCAAACCCGGCTTCTGAACAATAATGAGCTATTCGGCTTGCTTATAAAGTTGAAGGTCGGAGAGGCAGAAAGCTCGCAGAGTCTGCTTGCTTGCGAGAGAAAACTGAGAACCACACCGTTTTGGCTTGTCAGCATCTCGCTCGAAGATCTGTAACCTGCCCCAGCTTGAAGCACCGGCACATCCTGCGGCAAGGCTTCAAATCTGAGACTTCGAGCATGGCGAAAAACAACAGTGCTGGGTATGTCATGCATATAGCACTAGTGCCCTGAAACCGTCCTGCACGTGCAAACCTCCAGCGGCACCGAAAGAGCTGACATCCTTGAGATACTCAGCTCTCCCATCGGTGGACGTTGCCACGGTGCTTTCCTGTGTCCATCCAAACCTCACGTTAGCCCTCGCATTGCTTGGCCCAGGCCCAAGTCTTCCTTCAGCACCGAGGCCAGAAAAACTTGTTTGGGTCTCCTTGACACCAGGCAAGCCCGCGATAGTTGCCTGTTCTTGGACACTCTGCTCCGACTGCACATAGCCAGCTCGAATCTCGGCGACGTCCACACCCAGGATGTCGCCCTTCGCACGCACTCCGAGAGTCTCCGAGGTGCATGTCAAGCGCCCCGTGCCATCATCGAGACTTCGATCGATCGTCTCCACAGATTTGCCAAGACAGCCGCTGACACCCACGGTGTTGAGGGTCGATCGCAACCTCTTGCTGGCGTGCAGCCCCGTGTCCACCACGGTCCTGTCACTGCCCGTGTCCACCTGTGTACCGATGCCTGCTCCATATCCGAACATGTTGATGCCCTTGTAGCTCTCATCCCACTGCAGCCGGAGGTCGCTACCAAGCAGCGGCGCTGCGGTGTTCACCGCATCAAGGGCGAATGCTTTTGGATCCCGGATAGCCGTGTCCTTCAGCCCTGTGAGGAGGTCACCCACTTCATGGAGGCTCACGGCACCTTGCCAACCTTTGTCCTTCAATGCCCGGTACAGAGGTTTCACCACAAAGCGATAAGCCATATCAGCTTCCTTCGCTGGATAGCCGCGTCGGCTCATGGCATCAAAGAACCCATGTGCCAGCTCATCAGCGACAACGCCCTTCCCAATCTGCTGGATCCCATCGACGATTTCCGCGTAGCTTGCGTCCAAGTTGTGGTTGTTCTTGGCGAAGAGGTAGTTGGCGGTGCTCTTGATAGACCCTCTCGTCACATCACTGAGCGATACCTCCGTCACCACAGCATCTTGGCCCAGTTCAATTCCGCCCTTCTGGTTCACCTTCGCCGAACCTTCACGCTTGAACTGGAGGAAAGGTATTTGGATATGCTCGCTACCTGCGCCACCAATCCAGCCTCGCTTGTAGGATGTTGTCCTCTTATGATAGGTGAAGCACAGTGCATCCGAGGCTTCCACCGTGTCCTTCGACAGCACCACTGTCGTCAGACCCAAGGCCTTCAGCCCCGATGACGACTCCTGCTTGGAATAGCCCTGCAACAGGGAGAAATCCTTGTGAACGGACTGCTTGACATACTGCCCAACTTCGAGACAGAGCCAAGGAACACTGTCGACATTAAGCTCGACATGGGCCCCCTTGAGGATCTCCCTTTCGAAGTTCGTGACAGATCGAAAACGGCCATGTAGCTCCTCCAGCCTCTCAGAACGACTGGTGCCGACAATTGCAGATGAACGAGCAGTGCGTCCTCCCAAAGATGATGCCGTTACCTCGAAGCCATATCCTTGCACTGTTCGGCGATGTCGTGCTGTGCCTGTCATTCCATTGGCCTTCATGCGACTAAGCTCAGAAGCTTCCTTAACAATATGACCGCTTACAGCGGAGATGCCCACTTTGCCATCCACCTTGGCCCACCCGTGCAAACCATCCACTGTCGTCTTTGAAAAGCTCGAGGCCTTAGCTGTTGATTGGAACTGTGAGTCTTCCTGCTACCAACATACACCTCCAGCATTCACTCACGTAACATCCAAGTTGCTGAGCCGTCATCGGCTTTCCATGTCGTGGACGCCGTGCTCTTTCCATCTCCCGCGCCCGCGGAGACCCATCCCGCTCCAGGCAACCTTGCCTTCCCCTCAGCTTCAAGACCAATGAATGAGGATCGTCGTGTCTGGATGCCAGTCCTTGCAAGCAGCACCCCCACCCTCGCCGCACACTATGCACATGGAAGGTTGCTTAAATGTCCTGCACAATTCCTACATCGCAAGATAAGCTCAAAAACCTTCTCGGTCTTTCGCGAGGCTCTTGGAGACACTTTGGGTAGGAAGCCAACGTGCATGTGCTGACGTCTCTAAACCTCACAGCTGGAACACATCTGACCCTCTATGCACCTGCAACTGCAAAAAATGCCTGCATCTCGCATGCTGTTTGTCTAAATCTTTCAACGGAAGCCTTCGGAACGCACGTAGCCAGCCCGAATCTCGGCGACGTCCACACCCAGGATGTCGCACTTCGCACGCACTCCGAGAGTCTCCGAGGTGCATGTCAAGCGCCCCGTGCCATCATCGAGACTTCGATCGATCGTCTCCACAGATTTGCCAAGACAGCCGCTGACACCCACGGTGTTGAGGGTCGATCGCAACCTCTTGCTGGCGTGCAGCCCCGTGTCCACCACGGTCCTGTCACTGCCCGTGTCCACCTGTGTACCGATGCCTGCTCCATACCCGAACATGTTGATGCCCTTGTAGCTCTCATCCCACTGCAGCCGGAGGTCGCTACCAAGCAGCGGCGCTGCGGTGTTCACCGCATCAAGGGCGAATGCTTTTGGATCCCGGATAGCCGTGTCCTTCAGCCCTGTGAGGAGGTCACCCACTTCATGGGGGCTCACGGCACCTTGCCAACCTTTCTCCTTCAATGCCCGGTACAGAGGTTTCACCACAAAGCGATAAGCCATATCAGCTTCCTTCGCTGGATAGCCGCGTCGCCTCATGGCATCAAAGAACCCATGCGCCAGCTCATCAGCGACAACGCCCTTCCCAATCTGCTGGATCCCATCGACGATTTCCGCGTAGCTTGCGTCCAAGTTGTGGTTGTTCTTGGCGAAGAGGTAGTTGGCGGTGCTCTTGATAGACCCTCTCGTCACATCACTGAGCGATACCTCCGTCACCACAGCATCTTGGCCCAGTTCAATTCCGCCCTTCTGGTTCACCTTCGCCGAACCTTCACGCTTGAACTGGAGGAAAGGTATTTGGATATGCTCGCTACCTGTGCCACCAATCCAGCCTGGCTTGTAGGATGTCGTCCTCTTATGATAGGTGAAGCACAGTGCATCCGAGGCCTCCACCGTGTCCTTCGACAGCACCACAGTCGTCAAACCCAAGGCCTTCAGCCCCAATGACGACCCCTGCTTGGCCACACCTGCATCCCGGGGTTCCAGCACGTGCTTCGAAGGCACCGTTGTCATCAGATCCAGGGCCGCCAGCCCTGATGAAGAGTCCTGCCCGGCCACATCCTGGCTCGTAGGGAAGGGACTTGCTCTTGGTGATCCGTTGACAGTCTGCCATTCTGACCGCGTTCCGGCTCGATCCCCGGTCACAAGGCCCTTCGCCAAGTGCAGGGTACCCTTGGCAAACTTGCCCTTCATCTTGCCATTGACGTAATGAAAGCGGTTGGAGCCCTTGTTGTGTGCTGCGTAATTCAAGTGGTCGGGTTGCCACCCCGTCTTGGTACACTGTTTGGTGGGCACCCAGGCGTTGATGACACCGTCCCCATCCAGCTCCACATGGTAGCGTTTGTTGGTGTCTGGGTGAACCAAATCGAAACAAAGTTTCTCCTTGCCTTGGCTTCGGCATATCTTTGCTGGATCGGTTTCCCCACCAAAGAGGTCGGCAATGGCCCTGACCGGACTGCAAACACAGAACCCACTGCTTCGAAGAGAAAATTGAGACACAGTCATTGAGTCATGGTTAGTGCGCCTAGGATGTCCCATTTTGTCCCACCAGGCCTCGTGAGAGAGCAAAGCTCTTCGTGGCCAATGTGGTGCTTCTTGGCACAAATGTGCTCCGGGCGTGTCTCCACTTGACCATGTGGCTTAAGCTTGATGGGCACGCCCTCGCCTTGATGCTGGCAATCATGCTGCCACTCCGCTTGCTCTGGAGGTTTGCCACTTTTCGCCATCTTGTCCGAACTTGAGGCCGGAGCTCCTACCGGACAAGGTAGACACAGGTAGGCAACCCAACTACCTAAGGCCGAAGACCTCGAGCAAGAGGTTCAACGAGGCGGCTGTCGGCCGTTTCATTGCGCACCCCACCAGACATCAGCTTCAGCATCCGCACTGAGGGTGAAAGGCTGAACAAACGTACGAGTTGCGAACGTGTGCCGGTCATTTTCTGTGCTAGCCAGGCTCAGGTCGGCTGCTTCCGCCCAGCGTAGCCTCACGGCCTCGGGGTTTGAGAGCACCATGAATGAAAACTTCCAACGCATCGGAAAACCAAGGGGAGGGGCATGTTCGCCAGACACGCGACCAACTTGAAGATGCCGCTGTGCTGACCCTGCGCGACGGCTCACGTTCCATGCGGAGGAAGCTCCCGGAAGCCTATGGTGACAACTTTTCTCTTGCTCACACGGATTGATCCTGCATAACCCTGGCAAAACCGCTCCCATAGAGGTGTTGTGCTCGGGTGTTTCAGAACTCATTCGGCAGCCGCTGCATGCACAATGCTGACCAAGTATACATCCTGCACTCATCGGACGTCTGCAGCTCAATTTTTCATAGGCTCGGTGTTAGGCCGCTTACATGACATGAACGGTACTTGCGTGGAAAGCTCAGAAAGCTGCTGAATTGACTAACATCCAGTTTTGATTGTGTCACATGCGATCAACTCTGTTTAGTGCTCGGAAGAGGTCAAGACGATGCAGAGAAGCTATGCTCGCTTCGTAAACAAAAACAAATTGGGCTTAGATCGATACTACTGCGAGATACTAGGAGGCAGTACCCATTGATATCGAGCAGGGGCCCAGACGATGTCGCAACGAAGTCGGCATTGATGTGCTGCAAAGAGTGCCCTCCGCGTCATTCTCGCCTCAGATCACTGCCACCCCGGCTGCGTCCGAACAACTGCAAACCGCACCGCCACAAACCTACGCCGAGCGAATGACTGCAGCAGAAACCAAGGATGGTGACCAGGGCTAGTGCCGAAACCTGTTGGCCTTTACAAAAAAACGAGCACAACAAGAATACTAAGAAGAAGAAGAACAAGAATCCGTATGGCAGTCCTCGCAGCCGAGGCCAGAATGAGGCTGAAACTGGGGCTCGGACTGAATCGAAGCATCTCTGCATCCCTTCCTTGATCTCCGGCGGGCTTGTAGAAAGAATTACGATGCTGAGACTAAACGAATTGTGGAAGTATCTGCCAGGGATGAAGTATCTGCCAAGGATGCTTGCTGATATCTAATACAATGGCGCTTGCTTCTCAAGCTCTTGCTTCCGCTGAGGCAACGTAGCCAAGCTCTGTGACATGTCCGTACTTCCCTGAAAGATCTAGCTCTTCGGCCTTAAGTGAAAAGCTCGGAGTGCCAGCTCATGAAGCGATTTTTGGCGGACTTCTGCGGCCGCGACGTCCTGAGACTGTACATTCCTCTAAGAAGGCATCGCATCAGAGGAGAGATGGAGACCATGCATCGACACTTTACACGACGCCATGCAAGGTTAGACTGCTGCTGGAGGTGGGTCGCGAAACGGCGAGGTGGTTCACATCACATCCATTCAAAACACGAGGCACTCGACAGAACTACCTCCGCCAGTCCGCGACTTACGGCAACATGAGCACGGTGCGTAGCTGCGCACAGACTGTCCGGGACTGGCCATCGAGCAGGTGTTCTTTCAACGGCAACATCTAAGGTCCACTCGAAGAATTTGGCATGGCGCACGCTAGTAGTTCCTAGAGTGGCCACAAGTGCCAGGCCTCCCGAGCGTGTGAAGCACTACCAGAAACATAGAAACCTCTACCGATCGTGAACGCCTTCCACACCCGCTTTCTAGAAAAACACTCATCGACTCAACCTCAAGGTGCTCGGAGGGCTTGGCATCAGACCTGCCCTGGAACGGATGCTCGGACCAGTCTCAAAACTTCTTCGGCCCTTACTGAGTGTGTGCGGGCCGTCGAAAGCTGCTCTTATCAACTCTTTCCCACTTCTCTCCACTCACTGTGCTTGTCGGGAGATCTCAGTGCAACTGTTGCAAGCCAGCCACATGCGTCACACCACACACGGATCCGACGGCTGTCGGATTATGCTAAGTAAGCTTGATTCTGATATCCAACGTAGTGGTGCTTGCTTCTGGTGAGCTTGTTTTCCTTGCCTCTCGGGATGAGGCGACATGGCCGGACTTCTGAAGCCGACCTTCGGTAAATGTACATTCCTCAAGAAGGCATCGCAGCAGGCGAGTGAGGCAAAGCATGCATACATGCCATATACATGCCCTTTCAGGATTGCACCTCCTGGTTAAAATGCTTCTGGAGGCGAGCGGCACAGCCAGCGAGCAGTTGTGCTTTCAGCATCTTCATTCAATGTCTGGGGCTCTATGGTTTACGATTTCGCCTGGTACATACTGGTGGTTACTCGCTTCATACCACCCGAGCATATGAAGTAAGCGCCCTCTGTAAGAGACATGATAACCGTCGGAGCATTGAATGGAGAATCAAACGAATTCTTGCCTAACTGGCATGCTTTCTTTGGCCCACACTGAATCAGACCGGGCCACCAACACCTGCGATTTTTCGTGCCGAGCTTCAACTTCAAATGTCGATCACAAGCTCTCATCATCCGATGAGCTTCTCGCTTCCTTTTCAGGCTCCCAGATCGACCACTCACCGCCCTGCTCGGAGATCAGCCAAATGGGCCTTCGCACCAGACGCCACAAAGGGGTTCGGCGGGGCTTTAAGGTTTAGAAGTTTAGAATTTAGAGTTTAGGAATTTCGGATCTGAGTGCTTCAACCTTGTTCGCAGAGCTCACAGCCCCGGCCTGCAGCTCCTCACGCAACTTTCCGAAAATGCCACACTGCTGGGGGAGCCTCAAGTAAGCTGCAAGCGCTTGCTGGAACTTCCGATCCTCTTCGAAGCAGTTACTTGCGAGTGCGCGACCCCTCTGGACTGCCGACTGGATAAAGCTTGCATCAAGACGTGTGGGGTATCTTCTGGCGACTGTCCGGATGGATGTCAACAAAGAAGTGACCGTCTTCATGTCGAGATGCGTCATGGCCATCGCACTCATCACCATCAGTCTGCACTGCATGTTGCATATCCGCTCGTCAGGGTTCTCCATCTCAACATCAAGCGCCCTGACCAGCCGCCTTGCTGCGCGCGCGACGACACTTACCCAGTTGTGCAGTATTTTGATGCGGCTTTGGCTTGGTCGAGCCTTCACCGCTTCGTACAACTCAGACAAAGCCGGTGTGGGCTCGGTGGGACTGAAGAGGAAGGAAGACAACGCTGCTAGGGCTGGATTCGGCAGTTTCAGCCGCTCGAAGAGATCGTGCCAGTTCAACTGGGCCAGGCACCATATGCACTCAATGCATGTCTCCAGGAGCGGCCAGTGGAAGATCTCCATCTGTCTGCTTGCAGACAAAACTGTGTGCACGCAACTGCCCAAGTGCTCCAACGATCTGACCTCCTGAGGTTTGAAAACCCCACGTAGTCTGTCGGGCAATAAGCTGGCAATCTCCTCTGCAACTTCTCCATTCCATCTCATCTCAGTTTGTTTCGGCATGCCGAATGGTCTAAGTTGAGCGTTCGGAACTTTGGCTTGTGCGAGACAGTGGAGCAAATTGACGAACTCGAGCGGCCCCATGTTTGCGAGGTGCTGCTTCTCAAGGTATTGCCAGCATTCCAAGGGTCTTGGATAAGGGCTTGACAGAGAAGGGCGTGACAATAACAAGAAGGCCTTTCCAGCGACGGCTTTCCCCCCCCTTTCGAGGAACATGCCGGATAGCTTTGCGCCGTTACCTCGAAAGCCCCCTCGACATGTCCAATAGACTTGGGACCACTGTTCTGCCTGGTCAACTTCCTGAAGGGGCTTCAAAGGAAACTCAGCAACCACCTCAACCACCTCGCCCAGAGTGGAGATCAACGATGATCCGTTGAGGAGGTGGTTCGTCAAGTGCTTCGCCATGGACCCCGAGATTCTCTTGACCAGCTCTGACTCCGACGACAGACGTGGGTCGTGTCTGAGCAATCCCAAGAGCTGGAAAGCAGTCCACCAGTCCTTCTGACTCGGTGGTCGCGGACCGGTGAAGGAGGCCCTCTCGAGCTGCTTCAAGGCTTCGAGTCCACACGTGGTGTTATAAGCCCACCCTTCGTCCCGTTTCGTTCGGATCTTCTCCACGAGATCGAATTTCACAACCGAGCCGTCCATGGGCTCCCATCCATCCATGCAGCCATGCCTCGAGTCCGCATACGAACAAGGTCTAAGAGTTTTGGCCATGAACGATCCAAATGATCCATCAACCTCAATTCTGGAAGGCCCAGGCCCCACTCTGCCAAACCATGCATCGGACGTGACGTTCACAGCCATCTTTTCGCCTGGCTTACGAGGATTATCTGCAAGGTCGAATCTGACAGCATTACGCCGAACTGGCTCAAATCCAACGCAGTTACTGACGTGGAAGAAGACGTCGGTTTCACGTTCAATGGTGATGTGACCAAAACCCTTCTCATTGTCGAACCTCTTCACCGTGCCGGCGAATGTTCCGATGGGCCCTTTTGGCATTGATGCAGGTCCAGACGTGATGTTCACCGCCATCTTTTCGCCTGACTTACGAGGATTATCTGCAAGGTCGAATCTGACGCCACCACCGGGAACTGGCTCAAATCCAACGCATTTACTGACGTGAGCCTTTTGAGCTTGGAGCCGGAGCTTGCGCAGGAGCTGAGCTGGGAAGGCTGGGCGAGTCAGAGCCGTGACAGATAGAAAGACAGATCTCGAGAGGTGGCGAAGCGAACGGGGCGCAGACTCAGCTCCTCGACATCGGCAGAAGCTCTGAGTGGCAACGAGGCCTCGTCGGAAGCAGGGCAGAAGAAAGGTCCCAAGTGATGCTCCCTGAAACCTAAGCTAAGAAGAGGAAACAAGCAAACTGGCAGCAACCCCGGCGAAATCGGTCTCGCTCTCTCGCTGTCCAGGGCCGGCGAACAAGAGACACGCCCATTTCTTAGGTCCTAAACCTATACTGTGTGCAGCCGTCCTTGAGCTGGGGCTGGGACTGAATCGGAGCATCTCCGCGTCCCCACCTTGATCTCCGACTTGCTTGCCGGCCTTTGAGAAGCAGAAAATGCAGCGCTAGGAATGAACGACATGCAAAAGTGTCTGCTAAGTATGCTTCCCTAATGGCACTAAGAATCCTGATATCTGTTGCAACGGTCTTCGCTCCTCACGTCATGCGTTTGCTTTTCTATACTTTCCTTGCATCCTGGGCTGAAGCGACATGCTCTGTGACATGTCTTGGCATATCAGGCCTTTAGCTACTAGTTTGGAGCGCCAGCCCAGGAAGCAATTCGGTGGACTTCTGTGGCCGACATTCAGTGGCTGTACATCCTCACCCACAAGAAGGCATCGCAACAGAATAGAGACGGAGAGACTGCCTCCATGCCTTCACGGGATGCCATGCAAGGCTGAAATGCTTCTGGAGGTGGTTGGCAAACGTAAAGCTAGTTCACATCACATCCCCGGACCATTCATCATAAGCCTAAACGTCACACAAAACACAAGGCACCCGACGACAGAACCACCTCCAGCCCATCCCTGGCAGCGAATTACGGCCACGCGGGCACAGTTGGAAGCTGCACACAACCGTTCCGCGAGTGGGCTACCGAGCAGCTGTTCTCTCAGCATGTCTTCATTTAAGGTCTAGGGCTTGATGGTTTGCGATTTCGCTCGCCCCCAAAAATTCAGCGCCCTCTGCAACGGAATGGCGCCGAACACCTTCAACACCTGCCTTCCACAAAGACACGCGTCGACTCAACCTCAAGGTGATCGGAAAGCTATCGGGCCAAATCTGAAACAGTGGCTTGGTTGCCCTGTGTGAAGACTTGAAAGAAAAACTGCCAAAAATCCTACATGCCATGCTTTCTTCGGCTTCTGAGTCTGTCCTCGCCATCACAAGCTGCATGACAAGCTCTCATCTCTCGTGGGAGATTCCACTTCGAGAGATCTCAATCAGCGCTACAACTGCTGCAAGCCAGCCATATGCATCACGACAGAACTCCGACGGTTTGAGTAAACGGCTGTGGAAGTATCTGCTAGGTATGCTTGCTGATATTATGTGTTTGCTTTCCTGGCTATTAGGCGCCATAGCCAATGTTAAAGGTCCTTTCCCACCAGGACGCGGTCTGGCGAACTTCTGCAGCCGACGTTCGGTAAATGTACAATCCTAAAGAAGGCATCGCAACAGAGAAGTGAGTGACCATGCCTTTCCAGGATGGCACGCCACGCAAGGTCCAAATCTGGAGGTGACTGACGAAACGGTGAGCTGGCTAGCATCACATCCCTAGGCCCTTCATGAGAGTCCCCCACGAAACACAAGGCACCCGACGACAGAACCACCTCCAGCCCATCCCTGGCAGCGAATTATGGCAACGCGGGCACAGTTGGAAGCTGCACACAACCGTTCCGCGAGTGGGCTACCGAGCAGCTGTTCTTTCAGCATGTCTTCATTTACGGTCTAGGGCTAGGGCTTTATGGTTTGTGATTTCGCTTGCCCCAAAACATACAGAATGACGCCGAAACACCTTCAACACCTGCCTTCCACAAAGACATGCGTCGACTCAACCTCAAAGCGCTCGGAAAGCTTTCGGGCCAAATCTGAAGCAGTTGCTCGGTTGCCCTCTGAGCATTGAATCAGGAAATGTTAAACAAATTCTTGCCAAAAGGGCATGCTCTCTATGGCCCGCACTGAGTCAGACCGGGCCGTCGAAAGCCGCAGATTCTTCAAGCTCAAGCCCTAATCGCCGAATCCCCCGCTCACGGCCCTTCTCGGGAGATCTCAGCTCAGCCTTGCAAGCAGCGCCTTCGCAGCAGACACCACAGATGGGCTCAGGTCTTGAAGGCTTTGAGGCGTAGAGTTTCATGGTTTTCGGATCTGGGCCAACGCCCTTTCGCCGACCTCACAGTCCGGCCTGCAACTGCTCATGCAAGTCCTCGGAAATGTCACATTGCTCGGGTAGCCGCAAGTAGGCCGCGAGCTCCTGCTCCAAGTTGAGCCGCTGCTCTGAGGAGCAGTTCCTTGCCAGCTCGCGAGCCCTGTGCAATGCCGATTGGACGGACCTTGCATCAGGAGGTGCGGAGTCTTGTGTGGCAACTTTCCTGACGGACTCCAACAACCCTGTGACCGCGTCCATGTCGAGATGGCTCATGTCCACGATACTCAGCTGCACACCCGTATGCGCCTGCACAAGAACACAAAGGAGTTCAGGTTTACAGTAGGCTAAAGTTCAAATCGTGGCGCTTAAGGCCTTTAGGGCTTCGGCTCGGGTTCAGAAATTCCGCATTCAAGGCTTTCGGATAGGTTGCCCGAGTAAGACATAAAGATGTGTGGCCGGATGGGAGGAAAGCCAGAGCCCGGCCTGCAACTCGTCACGCCACCGCAAGTAAGTTCTGAGCACTTTCTGGAAGATTTCCTGTTCGTTGTCGGAGCAGTTCCTTACGAGCGCGCTAGCCCGCTGGAATGCCGACTGGACGAAGCGTACATCAGGATCAAGATGTGTGGAGTATCTTCTGGTGACTCTCCTGATGGATGCCAACAGGGAAGTGACCGTCTTCATGTCGAGATGCATCATGGCCATCATGCTCATCTGAACCAGTGTGCGCTGCATGTTGCAGATCCGCCGGCGCCGGTCCTCCGTCTCAAATGCAAGTGCCTTGACCAGCAGCCCTGCTAAGGGCGCGAGAACATCTCTCCCGTTCCCCAGGTTGTCCAAAATGTTCTTGCGGCTTTGGCTTGGTTGAGCCTTCACAGCTGCGTACAACTCTGACTCAGACCACTGGAACGAATTAAACACTTGAGGAGGCGGTCCACCCTGCCCAATCTGCTTTCCAAGCTGGCTCCAGATCAGCTTGTCGAACCACTGCTCCCGGCAGTGCTCGCGACTCACCCTTTCCAGGCGCCATGCACAAGCCAAGCAGGTCTCCAGGAGCTCGTCGGGGAAGATCTGAATCTCTCCGCATGCAAAGACAACTTTGCTCAGAGACTTGCCCAAGTACCCGAGGAACTTTACGGATTCTGGTTGCTGAGGATCCATAAGCTCACGCAGCTTGTTTGGCAGCGCATCCACAATCCGCCCTGCAACTTCTCGCCGCCATTGGATCCAACCTTCTCGCTGCCAGCCCTCTCCCTCGAAGACCTGCTGCGCGAGCCAATGGAAGACGTTGACCAACTCGAGAGGCTTCATGGTTGCGAGGTGCTCCTCCTCGAGATGTCGCGAGAACTCCCAGAGCAGTGGCACGTGATACCATGTGAATTTCATCTTGCGAAATGCATCAACGATGATGCTCAAGGTCTTTCCTTTCTTTTCGCCCTCGGTGCAGTTCTGCAGCCCTTCCCTTGCAATCAAGTTCCCGGCTTCCCAAAAGAAAAGGGCCCACGACCCCTTTTCATTTTCGGTAGCGCACACGAGCTGAGCCACCTGCTGCAGAATGCGAGGCACCCCTGTAGGACTCCACTGAGAGAGGCGGCTCAATGACGCCCCTGAAACTCGGAAGTGCTCGTTCATCTGCCGGGCCATTGACTGCACGATTCTCCTTGTCATTTCGGCAGGGCCCGGTTGTGCTGCCGCTCGGAAATACTTCTGCATCCTGGTGTTATGCAGGCAATACAGAACATAACGCCAGTGAAGATAGTTTGGTGAAGAAGCCGGGTCGATGGTGAAGCTGAGTTCGAGGGAACGCAGGTGCTTGACTTCATCCTGTTTCAGGCCCTACCTGAATCCCAACCCAAAATCGGCTCGGAAATCCCAAAAGCTTCAGGAAGCTTAGGGTATCCTTGTCACATGCTTACCATGTTTCCGGAGAGTCGGATGGCCCTTCGAGCAAGGCCGCTACTGGCCCACCTCCCTGCCGACACGTTTTAGGTGGGATTGCAAGCAATGACTCGAGCAAATGGCTACACCGCAGCACCGGGCCTTCTTGCCGTCCTGCTCAGGGCAAATACCGAAGCGAAGAAAGACTGCTGCAAGCTTCTCGTGGTTTTTGACTGTGTCCCAAAGCCAACCCAGATCCTGCAGCTTGTTTCCTGACTCTCGATGCCTCTCGAGTGCTTGAACCAATGACCTTATCTCCTCATCGGAATAACTGCCTGCACACACCATAACCTTTACCTGCGAATTTATCTGCCGTGCACTGTGCGAGTACCCCACCATTGGCCGCTGTGGAGAAGGAGCTCTCCGAGCTTCGAGCGGGAACTTGCACTGAAGCCGAGCTGGCCGCGGAACAGAAGCAGTCAGAGCTGTGACACAAAGACAAAAAAAACGTTGAGGGTCTAGGGTTCAGGGCTGGGGCTTAGGGTATGGGGCCCGGACCCGGGTCGGCGTCACCAGCAGCAGGAGCTCGAAAGACCCCTGCCGGAAGCACCAGGGGTCCTCCCTCCCGGAACCCTACCCCCCAAACCCCCAAATAAATCCTTTGAGCTGCAGAAGATTCTTTATCGTGATTTTCGGAACATTCCGTAATGCAAGTAATGCATGGGTCGGGCAGACACGGTAGCTCAGTGGCATGTTTGGCAAGGTTTCTCGGACCGGCAACCGTGCTCTCAATTCACCGGAGCCCATCAACAGACTTCACGGGTACTTCTCCCTGAACCCTAAACTCCAAAACCCTGAGCCCTAAACCATAAACCCCCAAGCCCGAAAGCCCCAAGCCCTCTGCTGTCTCTCAAGGATCCCACCATGCAGGATCTTCTTGCCTCTCAAACCCTGGCCTTTGCTCAAGGCCAGGGTTTTCAAATCCTGATGCAAACCCCGCAAGATCCTAAAAGCCAGAAGCGCCCTAGAAACGCCTCGACCACAATCTCTCGGCCAGCGGACACTGGGCCTGACAAGCAAGCGGAAGAAGGGGATTCATAGAGGTTTAAGCTTCCCTTCAACGTCCCCATAATGTAGGGTTGAGGGTTCATTGCGGGGCCTCCATATTGGACACCCGGGCGCAACTCTTCTAGGCCCTCCCAAAACACGGGCCCCCTCAACTGCAGCACCTCGAAGCACCCCGTCTTCTCTGGCTACAGTTTGCGCTTTAGGGTGGAGGGCTTAGCGTGCTGGTGTTGGGTTTGGGGTTGGGGCGGCAGCACACCCTCCCAATGCAGGCTCCGAGACGTGGCCTCTTTTCCCAACGGCAGACAGCGTTTAGAACTTGGCTTAACATGGGTAGTTCTCTAAAGTCGGGTCTCTGTTTAGGTCCCCCCCAAAATAGGACGGCACCCTCATCAACAGGACACCCCAATATAGAGGACTACCCACATTGGAACTATAGACTTCTCCTTCAAAAACTGGCTTCGGGTCCTCGTCGGTAGCATGTCGCGGGACCTTTGCGAAGCGAGTCCACGGCCCGCGTGTCGAACGAGCTGGGACAGGAACTGAGTTGAGGCGCGGATTTTGCCAAGACGTTCGACGTACCGGCGCTAGATCCGAAACTAGAAAACGTGATGCCTCAAGGGTTTGGGGTTGAGGGCTTCGGGTCTGGGGCAGGGCAGATCCTCATTCATGACGGCTTAGCCGGTCATCTCCAAGCTGAGGGCTCGGCCATTGATTTCATCTGTAGCCGGGCAATTGAAAAAGCTCGCATCTGAGCCGACGCCGACTGGTGGGCTTCATCACTAAGAAATCTTAGGGGTCCTTAGTTTACCCCCAAACCACATTCTAATCATGAAGACCCCTGTGTCATAGAGCCCTTATAGTGACTCTTAACGCGGAACCTGTGAAGGCACCCTATTCTAATCATCTGGGCCCAAGTTGTTGATGTCGGCTCGGAGATCAGCACTCTAAGGGGACAGGCTGCCAGAGCAAAGTCAGGGGCTTCAAATTCGACGTCTCACAGAGACCTTTCCTTCGTCCCGGCTTGGAAGGAAAGAAGATTGAAAGGATCCCTCGCTATGGTCTCCCGTTTCAAAACTAACAGAAATCCAAACCACAAAAAACAAAAACTATACCCCCCCCCCCCCCCCCCAGACCTGCCCCCCCCCGCTCCCTCAACGCTAAAAGAAAAAAAAACTATGATTCCAAAAAACTGGCCCCCAAGGTTCATGAAGCCTGGGCCGAGAGCAGCCTCCAGCCACTCCGATGTGAAGAAGCACATGACCATCCCCATAGTGAGGTGGGCCTTAAGGGGGGCTTAGAGGGTTTAGGGTTTTTTTTTGCTGAACCCTCTTTTCCGTCTGGCCCGAAGGTTAGGTAGAACACCAGGTTGGCGGAGGGACTGGAACTGGAGGCCCATTCGGAAGGGGACTCACCACCTCACCACTACCCCAATACTAGCTAAAACCCACGGCAGCCTCCTGTTCACACGGGTTTGTGCCACACTCCAAAACATCAGGTTTAGGGTTTAGGGCGGGGCTTAGGGGTGTAGGGCTTTTCGGGTTTCGAATTTCGGCCCTGAGGCGTTTCAGGGTAGGGCTTGGGGCTTCTCGGGAGTGGCTTAGGCTTCGCACTTGGGATTGTTATGGGGCTTAGGCTGGGGTTTGAAAGCCCCTGCCTTGAAGGGCATCTCCCTCAAGCCCTGCAACAGCAGAGCCGGGATTACCTCATGTAGTCTCAAAGCAGACACCCTAAAGAACCCTAAACCTCCATACCCTAAAACCATCTAACCCTGTAAACCAAACACAAAGCCCTACAAAGCGCTTAAACCCTTTCATTAGAAAATCAATGTCGACAGTAGTAGAAGTAGCAGCAATCATAGTAAAATCAATTACGATAAACACTACCTGAATATAACCTAGAATCCTCTCTCTCCTGGCCCAGTCGTCTCCGCAGCTGGGACCGGAAGGTAAATCGGCGCGTCCCCAGCGACCGGCGGTGGTCGACGAGCTCCTGGGCTATTGAAGCCATCCTAGTTTCGAGCTTTGTATGGTTTAGAGTTTAGGGCGCTTGAAGCTACCGTCATAGGGTTCAGGGCTTCGTATTTAGACGCTGGGACTCGGGTTTAGAGCTCCATTTGTAAGAGTTCTCATCATCGGGATGAACTAGTGAGCATATGTATACATATATATATATATAGATACAGATATAGATATAGATATAGATACAGATATAGCTATAGCTATTGCTATAGTTATAGATATAAATACAGATAAATACGTATATACATATATATATATATATATATATATATTCGTACTAAGGTAGTCGAATGTAACTTCCTCAACAACAATGGCCCAGTCTCCGGCGGCTGTTGTGGGACCACAGATTGAACGGTGGAGATCCTGCGTGTGCCCTTGGAATCCAGCTCCTTCATGCGCCAGGCGTCCTGCTCGGGTCGCTGATAGGGATTGTGTTGGATGTTACAAGGGTGTTGAGAGACTCGGAATAAGCCACGGTTGAATAGGATGGCCTTTGTATGGCTGCAGGGTAGCTACATGTCACAATACGACCTAAAGTTTTTAGCGGGGTTTAGAACAAGTTACAATCAGAATCATAGCGATGTACATAGACCCAAAGCCCCCCTAAGCCCTGAAGCCTAAAGAACAGCAGCCCAAGCCTGGGCAGTGGCCGTCATCCTAGGGCGGCTGGGCCGAATCTCAACGCTGATGAGGGCCCCGGGGTCGCTGTTGTTGGGCTGCACCTTCCTTAGCTTTGGTTAGTAGGGAATGGAGGAATGGGGTACAATTATGACTACTATTACTACCATTCTTCCATTCCCTACCAATCAAAGGTAAGTTTCGTCTCCAAGACTTCTGCCGGGATCGGACCCATGGGCAGCAGCTCCTGGGTTCAAGACGCCATCTTAGGAACCCACAATGGTTTAGGGGTTTAGGGGTTTAGGGGTTTAGGGGTTTAGGGTTTAGGGTTTAGGGGTTTAGGCCACAATGAGCCATCGGACTCTACCCATGAAGAATGTGGCTCTATGAGAGGCTGTCTTAGTTGGATTACCCTTCACTTTGAAAACTGCAGAGGGGCTGTGTTCTGGGGGTTTCGGGTTTGGGTTTATTGGGGTCTAGGGCGTAGGCTTCAACTGAACGGGGCGTTGGAATCGATTCCAAGAGAACTATATGTGGACTATCAGGGGATACTAATCGTGACTATCCCGAAGTCTACCTTAGCTTCCAGCGGCTCAGAAAACTGATTTTACACACTATAAACCTGAATGAACCTTTAACTGCTACATAACCGCTACATTGAAAAACGATTGCAGCAGTCCTCAACTTGCTACTAGAATAGTTTTTTTTTTTTTTTGGGGGGGGGTCAATGAATCCGCCGACCCTCTCGGCGTGTTGGATGGGTTTCGATGGGCTTGGAGGTGCTCCTTATGGTATATTGGCTCAACTTCCTTAAGATCCCAGGCACGTGGAGCACAACGCGATCTTCCAACAGCTCCAGGAGCAGCAAGGCAGGGATGGCGCAAGCGCCGGAGAGGTTGAAGGCCGGGGCCTTTGCCCCCGTCACCCTGAGATCTTGGAAGAGCAGGGCTCGAGCGGCGATCAGAGCGAGAGGGACGATGAATCGGAAGTAGCCTGAGCTGTGGCCACATATATATATATATATATACATATATATATATATATATATAGCATATATATGCATATACATATACATATACATATACATATACATATACATATACATATACATATACATATACATATGCATATACATATACATATACATGTATATACATATATATATGTTCTACATATTATGTTCTGTACATCCCTCAGTTGCATTCAGGATCTTGATCCACTTGGGTACGTTAGCTTCTCAACAGCCCAGGTGCCGCCGTAGATCTTCAGCTCGTCGTGCAGCTTCGACCAGCTGGTGGGCGCGAAGAGTCCCAGGCTCATCTCGGTGCCCAACCTGCTTGGTTTAGGGTCTAGGGTCTAAGGTGTACGGTTTAGGGTCTAGGGTTGGGGATTCAAGGTTTAGTGTTGAGGGTTGACGGATTCTTGTTGAAGTGGATAAGAGTTTTTAGAGATTTAGGATTTCTTAAAAGATTTCTTGAGGAACCCAGGAGCACCTCAAACCGAAACCATCCCCCAACCCCCACGGAAGAGCCCAGGAACAGCGGCTTCAGGATCCGAAAGGTGCCGTAGCGGATCCAGCCCAGGCCTAGTTCATGGTTGGGATGGTGCCCAAAAAAAGCAATTTCTGTTCCTTCTTGACGTTGAAGGTCCCATAAGAATCTAGAATGCTACCCGACCGGGTTTAAGTACCCATAAACATGTAAAATGTTGCCCAACCTATGACAAAGAGGCGGTTCAGGACATTGAGCAAAAGACTCCACAAGGCCGCGCCGACCCAGCCTCGGGTGCATTCAGGGATGCTTTTGGGGGAGGTGTTGAAATCAACGGTTTAAGGGGTTTTGGTGATTTTGGCGATTGTGTGCTTTGATTATTTTGGTGTTGTGTTGTTTTGGCTTTGGGAGCTCGATCGGGGCATGGTGTTAAAAAGAAGCAAACACTGTGTTGTTCTTGCTTTGTCACTTCCTGAAACATCCTGATAGAGCCAGGCAGAAGCCTTATCAACAACACCTAACGAAGCTCTATAGAGACTCAAAGACCAAAACCCTTCTAATCAAATGATTCTCTTGTCCTCAACAACAGCCCATGAAGCTATACTTATCAAGCTCATACAGTAACCATTACTCATAATAAACTCTCGAACCTAGAACCCTGCTAAACTCCTCTGTGCCTTAAGGAGGGCGCCCAGCGGCTGAAACTACCGGATCTCACTGCGCCGGCCCAGAGCGACACCAGACGCACGGACTCCGCGAAGGCGTGGGCGGTCATGATCATGGCCTTGTGTCACGGGTTTCGGGTCTTTCGTTTCATGCAGGGATTGGTGCGTCTGGGATCCTGCTAAGGAGCATACGTTCTGGTAGGGCTTGTTGGTTTGTAGAGGGGATTATGGGGGGCGATCATGTCGTACTTTAAACACTATGTACATCCCTACACATCCCAGCTAGCGAATCGTAACCTAAGTTCCTCAACACGGGCCCAGTGGCGGGCATGGGAAGGTATGACATGTCGCCAGACACTTCCGGCCGTTTCGTGAAGACTAGGCGAGTATACATCCGAGCAGTACACATCACCATGCCCATCTCTGTCAGGGAGGTTGCCACCGGTAGGCACATGTTGGCAATGAGGAGCTGGCCCTGTGAGATCAGGAAGATGTAGACAAGGACTATGGCCGTCATGACGACTGCGGTTCCGAGAGTTCCCAGAAGTTGTGCAAGTCCCCACTGCAGGCAAGACCAGAATCTTCGGTGAACATGTCTGGCTCGGCCACGGTAGTACTGAAGCATCGGCCCCATGACGAAGATCGTTATGGCTGTGATCATGACTTTAGGCAGGTCTGCCAACTGCAGCAAGCCTATCAGAATCATTGCGACAAGTGCCACGCTGCTCATGGCATGGGTGAATAGCCTCAGAGGATCGGCCACTGCAGTCAAACTCCTAGGATTGAAGGAATCCAGACGTCCGCCTACGAAAGAGCCGTACTCCCGAAACTCTGGAATCCCAGACCCCATTGTCCGCATGAAGCGAGCCAATGCTTGAATGCAGGTGAGGTGCGAAGGCATCTCGCCTGCCAAACTCACGGTGAAGCTTTGCACGAGGCCGGGAAGGGCAGGAAAAAGATAACCCACGGCCAGAAGCCCTCGCCACCATGGCAGCTGCCCCTCGAGGGCACTCAGCTCGCAGCTTGCAGAAGCGAGCCACTTCGCACAGTGCCAGGGAAGCAGGCATAGGCCAGTGAGCAGCATGAAGCGCCAGGAGAAGGTCCCGGCAGGCTTCAGCTCTGGATTTTGCACCTCCACCGAAAGCTCCCTTGCGACCTTCTCCTCGGGATTCACCAGGATCTCGCCAGAGAGCTCGGCTTCGATGCTGCCCTCGGAATCCAGGATCCTCACGTGGTTCATCTGCTCCGAGTCCTCCGAGGAGACGTAGATTTGCGCCTTCTGATCCTGGGCCAAGGATTCCAAAGGCTCAGGGCGTGCGGCTTCCATTTTTGAGGGTTCGGGAAGTTCGGGGACAAACGGGAAGAAGAACGGAAGCCACTAAAAGAGACCCAGAGTCCCTTCGCAGTGCCACGGCCATGAGGCCCGTGTGGCTCCAGTAGCCTGGGTTCTTGTTAAGGTATGCAATTTAATAAGGAAACCATTGATTTTTTACTATAAATTCCCATTATTTACTATAAATCCCGACTGTCGTAGCTGATATAGATTAAGTTCCTTAACAAGAACCCAGTAGCGGTGCTCCGAGGGCCCGAAACGCCTCCCGAAGTCCGTGACGGGGCCCCAGGTGGGCGGGTGCCAGAAGAAGCCTGGGTTCTCGCTTCTTTGGGAAAGGTCCTTGAGGAGGATATCATATGATGTCCTACTTATGAGAATTACGGGACCAAGAATATGATGACCTACTTATGAGAAGACAGAACCAAGAAATTGTCTGTGTTCCGAAGTCTGAGATCTGAGTTGCGGAGATGCGTCAAGGCACCATTCGTTTCAACAAAACTGCTTCCTCTGTTTGCGTATCTTAAGCTACGTTCCTTAACTTACTAATTCAAGGCCCAGAAGCAGCCCTCCAGCATCCGATTTCGGGAGATCTCCACCCGGGCGTCCGAGGGCCCCTCTGTGAGAATGTGCACCGCACGGCCACCGGCGCCCAGGCGCCGCCTTAGCAGCAACCTGGGTTCTTGTTGAGGGATCTGTAGTTACCATAGTAGGGATCTATAGCAAATAATTGAAAACAATAGGGTTTCTTTGTGATGGTAACTTAAATTAAGGTTCCTTATGAAAAGAACCCAGCAACTCCTCGGCTTCGAGGCCACTGCCCAAGACGATGAGACAGTGGTCCCGGTAACTCGGGGCATCCATCTCAGATCCCCCTCTTGTTGGGGGCGGGGGGGGGGCCAAACAGCGCCCCGAAGAAGCTACTACATGATATCGGCTGCATGATTTCACAGGCCGGCGACCGGGGGGCACTTTGGAATTGGGATCGGGATTGGGATGGGAAAGGCTGGCAGGTTCAGGCAAGGCCGGCGGGAGGAGCAGCAACGGGACCCACACCATCCATCAACCCCTTCGAACAGGGCGATGCGGCTAGCAAGGCTACTCGGCATCCATGCAGTCCTGGTGTATATAGACGATTCTTGCAGCTACACAGCCCTGAAACTCCTATCTCACTTCAAGCCAGAGGACGCAGCCCCTTTTCCCAACGCCTGTCCGACGACAACCCACCTGCTCTACGGAAGGGTTGAAGTCGGAGACGGAAATCGGCGAAGGCTGGTAGATTCCCCTCATAGTCTAAGCATACGCTGACGCTAAAATGGGCCTTTGCAGGCACCTGGCCAGCGGCAGAATCTTTTAAAGATTCTCGTGCATCTCCACGCACTGCCAGAAACGCTCCATGGTTTGGTTCATGATTTCGGGACGTCTGGTCTCAACTTCGGCATCCGGCAAGGCAAGCCCTGCGGCCACAGATGCGTGGGAGATGTGGATGGCCAGGCGGAAGAAGCTGAAGCGACGACAGATCAAGCTGGAGATTGGCCGCCGCAATGTACGCACGTATTCCTTTGCATCTGCCACCATGTGGAAGGAGTTCAGGGCATCTTCAGACTTGTTTTTGAGCCCGGACTTGTCCGCCAGTCCTGCCATTGCATGCATGTCAGACACCAATCCTGGCATAGGGGTTTTCCGCGTCAGCATCACAGCACTTTCCACAAGCAGACGGGACATCCGGCGCCACTCCTCTTGGCTGCCGGACATGAATGCTGGTATATGCCCCTGCAGCACTGTGAAGGTACCGTTTGAAACCAAATCACTGGTTGCTGGAAAATGCAAGGGCAAGGTGTCATAGTCGCTCATCCAGCCACCGCCAGCCTCCGACATGGCCAAATATCGGAAATAGCACGCCTTCTCATACTCGGGATTCTCACCGAGCGGGATCTGTGCAAGCTTCACCAGCAGCTGCTTGTAGAAAGGAGACTTCTGGGCATCCGCAAGTCCTAGAACCCTCGTCTGCCAGCCGGCTCGCTGCCAGTGGAGAGCCCAAGTCGCCAGTGTGAGTTGTCTTGCATCCTCCCGACCGTCCTTGGAACTTTTGGAATTTGGTTCGTAGAAGGTGCTCATCACCCAGGGCGTGTGCGGATTTGGAACAAGCATGTCCTGCCATGCTGCAGCAGCAGTTGCAGCTCGACATCGCTCTCTGCCCTTCCCTATCGCGCAGTGTGGGGCCTCAGCCAACTGTCTGCACATATTCGGACACATGTAATCACCCGATCTATATCGGCAGACATCCCCATGCCCCAACTCATTCTCATTATGGACCTCCAGCTCCGCATCTCTCGGACACGGCTCTGGTGCCCACGTCACATTACCGGGACAGGATGCCCAACGGCCCCGAAGATCCTCCGGAAGCTCCTGGAAGATGGAGCTGACATAACTCGCAATCCAAGGCGGGTACGAGGAGTTGGAGGTCTGACAGAGCTCCCCAGGCTTTGTGACGCTCTGCCAAGCTTCGATCTGCTCCTTGGTGAAAGACACCTCCAGCTGAAGAAAGCTCGCTAGTGCCTCGAGAGTCTCACGAGGCCGCGAAGCGAGGGCATCGTAGAAAAGCAGAAAGGACTCAGACCGTCCTGAATGTTGGTCATGCTGCCACCTTGTCCAACTAACGACGGACCGAATGTGCTGGACAGCGTTCTGATACTGATTGTAGGATTTTCCCCCATGCCGCCACGACACGACCACATCGCGGGGGTCACGCAACAGCAGGATAGACACGCCAAATTCCGCAGCCTGTCTCTTGTGACGGAGAGACCTGCTGCTTTTCTCCACCAGACAAGAGACCTGTGGACATCCGACCCACTGCTTGCAGCTTTGCCTGCACATGCTTTGGAGAGCCCTGCAAACTGCTCCGCCATGACTTCCGGCATGTGCGATCAGCTCGACTTGCGTTCTGGGAACCAGAAGGTACAGCATCACACAATGGAGCAGCAGCAGTAAGACCACTAAGGAGCAGATAATCACTTTCCACCTGCAGAAGAAATGGATCATCGCGCATCAAGGATCCATGGGCTCTGTCCAAGGTGTCAACTTCAAATCCATTATCCATGTCTGCACCTGCCATGCCCTGACATATTGTATGATGCTGCACGCAGGATGCATGCTGCTCTCAAAACCCTCTGCGGTTTGATCTGCTTAGGTTCTGCACACCTTGAAACGGATCGTCGCTCCTACAAACACTCCTTCATAGTCTTCCTTCATAGTCTGCATAATCATGAATGTTAGGCTGGGGCGTGGTATTATAAAAGTATAAGAACAAATGCAACGAGAAGGGCACAGACTTCAAAGAGGCTGTTTATAAAACCCTCTTTGTATATAACTTTCTCTACTTATTCACTTGAGGGGACCGGTGCGGGGAGAGACTGTGCCATTGAGCGAGGGTGCGGATGGCCGCACTCAGCCCTCAACAATGCATGGTGCAAACACCCTACTACAGGGGCCTTAATAATTAGAAAAGGGTTTGGGGGTTTGAGTATTATAACTTTAGTGTACTGTTTCCCAAAACCCGGAGGTTCAAATAACCTGGAAACCCGGAAAGCTCGGCCTGATTTAACAAAGAACGATCCGGGCCCTTAGGAACACCACTATAGAACGCCTTAAGGTAGAACCCGTCGAACCCTATAGTGCCCTTCAAGGTAGAACCCTATGATAAAACCCTACTATAGAAGCCTATGATCCAACCCTAGTATCGAGCCCTATAGTACCCTATTATCGAACCCGATTATAGAAGCCTATCACCCAACCCTGTTTTCGAAGTCTATAGTAGAACCCTAGTATCCAACCCTAGAGTACCCTATTATAGAACCTATAGCAACGTCAAAAAGCACCCTATTCTGGAACCCTATAGGCCCTATAGCACCAGATTTTCGAAGCCTCTAATAGAACCCTCTTATCGAACCCTACTATACAAGGCTACAATACCCTTCAGGCGGTTTAGGGTTTAGGGTTTGGGGTTTAGGTATCGTAGCCTTCTTTTTGTAAGGGTTCGATAATAGAGTTCCCTAAACCCCACACCCTAGACCCCAAACCGCTCTGGCCTGGAGCATTTGTCGTCCAGCCCAGGCGGTCCCGCGCTGAGCTGGCTGAGGGGGCCCAGGCCCAGCCTTGAATTGCGCAAGGACGCCACGATGAGGCGGAGCAAAACGAATCAAACGATATAAGCTCATATACATGATATGTATATATATATATATATATATAGAGAGAGAGAGAGAGAAATATATATATATATATATACACATATACATATATATATATATATATATAGTTTTTTGCAGACAGAGAGGAAAAGAGAGAGAGAGAGAGGGAGAGAAACAACCACAAATAACAATAACGACAACGATGACAATAGCAGTTCCAGCAACAATAACAATAGCAACAGCAATAACTCTGACAATAACAATAGCAGTAGCAATAGCAATAACAATAGCAATAGCAAAAGCAATAGCAATAGCAATGACAATAACAATCACAAATCACAATGACAATGACGATGACAATAGCAATAGCAATAGCAAAAACAATAACAATAGACAATAACGATAACTTGGGGACGGCCCCCACTCAGTAATAGTTGAATGATAATCATAATATAGATATATCAGGACCTTAATAATAGCCCTTTTATAGACTCTTACTGTATGGGGGCCGTACCTATAAACGATAACAATAAAAACACCAATAACAACGATAACAAACAAAGACACTATAACAAAACCGAAGGCAGTGACGGTAACACTAACACTAACAACAACAGTTATGACTGGCTGAGGTGATGCTGGATCAAGCTTGCCTTTCTGATGTATGGTGGTGCTCTTAGGGGGATGCTAGCGCCACGGCTGCCGGCATTGGCGAACAGATGGTGACTGCTCATCACTGACCATCACTGACATTTGGCCTGTATCTTCATCAGCTCGCAGTGAGGTCAAGACTTTGAGGCCATCATCAACCGGCGGCGCTGGTCCATGGTGACTCCCATCGTCCTGCCCGGAGCGTGCATCCTAATGAAACTTGCAAAAGGCAAAACGCTCCTGAGCTTTTCCTCGGTTTCCGTCATCAGATACTGGACAAAGGCGACCAAAGCCTTGTCGGAGCCGCTCTCATGAACATGCCCCACCCATGCTCACATGCACCAATGCATGCCGGTACATGCATCGTACATGCAGCATTTTTCAAACGTACATCACATCATGCACTTCTCTGAAGCGACTTATGATAGCGAGATGCGCCAGCTCAATATCTCAGACGTTAAACCACACACCCAAAAAACCAAGCAAGCTGTGAAGTCCAGCTGAGGCCCCCACACCTTGGAAATAGTTCCACGCTCCAAGGCCCAAAGTGGCGCTAAAGCAACTAACAGGTGCAGACGAAGGCTGGAGTTCGTCAGCATCTTGCTGTGAATCGTCCTTTCATGGTTCCTATGATTGAGCATGTGCTGAACTGTCACCGGCAGAACAGCTTGCCATCCGAAACCCCACGAAAGTACAGGACGATGGTAGAACGTGCATGCGGCATCTTTCGTGGGTGCCTGCGGTGCCTTGGCTGTTTGAGCCGGTGCAACTCAGACTTGATTGGTGGGAGAGTTGCACAGGAAAGGAACCAAGCTTTGGGTACAGGCAAAGACATGCGAATAAGCACTCGCATTTTGCCAGGCGCTTGAAGCCGTGCGCTTGAAATTCTTGAAATACTTGAATCTGTGGTTGCAAACCCATCATTCACCGGTGCTGACTTCTCTGGGTCATCTTCCAAAGCTGATGCGTCGCACCATCTGCCTTTTACTGTGGAGTCTCATCCCACCGAGAGCACGAGACCACTTCAACGGATGCATTATGCAGACGCTTTCTTGAGCGATCCCATATCAGTGGTCACGCAGCCAACAGTTCCGCGCCCGCCAGCACGAAGCTGGAAATCATAATACAGTGACCACTACACCAATGCACCACTTTTGGACTGAGAACACACAAAAGCAAGCCCATTCGTAAGCAGGCGGATTTGCAAAGCGGCGCATGTGGCTGCTCGTCGAAATAACTGGGCAACTGCGAGGGCTGGGAAACATGATGCAGATGCTCTTCTTGAAAGGTGTCAGCCAGCTATCGCTCATAAAACTTATGCGAGACCAGACGCATTTTCGAGCAAGACCTTATCAGTGGTCAGTCAGATTACAGCAACCCCTGCATGCCGTAAGCAGCTAGCAACCATGTGACACATGCGGTGACCACTACGCATATCGCTGACATGCGCGTGCAACAACGAGGCACTAAGAACATACCTAAGAACGTTTGAAATCGCTGAGCAGTCGCGAAAATCAGTCCCCTTCAGGGCTTGTGAGCAGACCGCTGTGGCGGATGATGGAAACTACGAGCTTATAAAGCAAGATTTCAGGCCAGATGCCCGCCTTCTTGATCAAGTCTGCATCAGCGTTGGCTGCCGATATCATGGACACATACGTCAACACATACGTCATACAATCATATCTATGCAAATGGTTGATCACTGGGCAATCACGCAATATATCGTAAAAAGCACCCTCTGCAGATCCTTCTGCAGCAGACCCGGTTCTTTGCACCCGAAGATACTGAGAAATCTGCTGCTCTCAGCCCGAGATCACGGCGTCAAGGGTCTGTTTCAACACAATCTGCCTTAGCTGCATGGCAAGAAGAACTCCGCTTCGATGTCACACGCACACACCTCCTACACGAACCTGCGCCCACTACAGTAACATGCAAACCGCAAAGCTACCTCTGTGGTGATGTCAAAACCTCGACAGCTGCCCGGCCTGGGGCAACGTTGGTCAAAATGTCTATTCTAGGCTTCCGGCATTGAGGGTGCACAGCTCAGGGAAGACTCAGCCGACCTGACCCCACCTTGCCCAACACAAAAAAAGGATGCATTTACTTCGACCGTCCACACCCTTTTGCTGACGTGGGAAAGAGTCCTTGTCGTATACTTTGCCTCAGGCGTTTGTCACGGGACACTCTGGCACTCCAGTGATACTTGGCGGGACTCTCCAAGGCATGCTCAGTGCGCTGTGTGGGGATGGGCACTCCAACGATACCGAGCGAAATTCGGTGGGCTTCTCTGCAGGCTTCCCTGGTGGGCCAAGCTTCGAAGCGCACCAAAAGTCCCAAAACATGCCTGGCGCGCCTACGAAAATCGCAAACTTGACTGACAGGATACAGTCGTTCCTGCCGTGGCTGGCTCCAGGACGTGATCTGCATCACAACGGCCAAGGCCTCGGGCAAACGTCCGCGTTCGGCTTTGGGGGCTCGGCGTCAAGGGCTCAAATATGTCTCGAACTTTCCACAACTGCAAGTCTAGGACTATCCCATCAAGAAGACCAGGCACTACCGTGATGAGCACTGACAGCATCTTCAACATCACTGCACCAGTGATCTTCATGCCACTTACTCGTATACCAGCATCACTGAGCTGAAGGTGTAGAACAAGCCCTTGCCGCTTTGCCATCGGCAAGGACGATGTCAGCGACAGCACGTGGTTGGCAAAGGAAGTGGCGCATTCACACTTCTGCGTGACCTTGACCGCAGAACGCCAGACATAGAGGGCGAGTGCAAGGTTCGTCGCGGCTGAGGAAAGAGAAGGGACCAGCCAGTGAAACCCGCATCCCAGCTTCAGGCTTTCCGCGTCAAGCAGAAGCTGCCCCAGTGCAGGTGCGGCTTCCAGAACGGCAAAGGCCATCACAAATAGATATACTGCACCAGTCAGCCTGGAGATGGTGCTCGCGAAGGCCTTGGAGATTTGCACATGTGACTCTACATTCTACATGCTTGCGCCAGCGCAAAGCAAGAAAAGAAACGCCACGGTCCTGACCGCCGCTGTACGCTGCGTTATGCTGCCCAGGCTCAGCCACATATGTCCATGTTGTTTCTGCCTTGCCGATTCCATTCGCAGAGTTTCTGCAAACATCTGCAAAGAAGTCCATGTAGTGCATGAGGAAACTGTTGAGGTGCAGCGTGCAATGCGCTAACCCTGCATGGAAAAGACCTCCGGCACACTCCACACACAAGGAAGACAGACCACCACTAGGATCGCAATGGGCTGAAAGCCTGTAAGAGGCGGCAACGTGGAGGAAGTGCAGAAGCAGGTAAGCCAAGATCACGGCAAAACTCGACTTTTGGCTATCCATCCATGGCTTCATGAAGTCATCGCCAGCTGCACTGCGGATCTGTTTCGTCACGAGCTCGGCGAGGCCGCGGCGGTGCGCTTGCGCGATCAGAGCAAGTGCACAGGTGGACTGGAAAGCTCTGACTGTGCACTCCAAGCTACTGAAACCATAGCTTTCATGGGAGAACCTGGGTTCTTGTTAAGGAACTTACATTAAGTTACCGCAATAAGGAAACCATATGATTTACTGTAGATCCCTATTATGGTAACTTACACTAAACTCCTTAAGAAGAACCCAGGAACATCTTGGCCCAGCAGGTCGCAGCTCGGATCGAAGCGAGGCAAAGCACCGCAATCCTGTTGCCACTCTCTCTCGTCTGCGAATCCCTCGTGACTCACGACTGCCCGAGGCCCTTAAAACGGACCTTGGAAGGGAGAGATTGGAGGCCTTCTGGGCTGAAAGATGTTTGGGATGCTTAGGGGAGACCGTGCTGGGAATCCTCTGAAAAGCTGACAAGTTCCATGGAGTGGGGAAACGTTTGAGGCTGCCGGGTGCCACTGCAGATTTTGTCAAAATCATGCGAAAGTGACTAGGGAAGAAAGCCACTCACTGCCTGAAAACTGCCTCTGATACATATCCCTACAGGGTGGGCCTCACAGGACGAGTGGTAATAATCACTTTGCTCATGCCACTCATATGCCGCATGCCGCTCGGTACTTCTGCCTCTCATGGAGATGATGAAAGAACCTGCTAAGCAGCTGACAGGCATCCCCAGCCAAGCCACAGAAGCACCGTCTGGCAGCGGCCAGGCTTCGGCGAGATGCCAGCCAACAGGAGGAGTCCAGAAGAGAGACAGCTGGTGAAGCATTCGGGGCAGCTGCGTTGCTCGCGACCTGGTATCTGCACCGCCACGTAATCTGCACCTGGCGATGCCACATTGTCGAGGCAGCAGGCGTCGATCGAGTCTCTCACCTGAGTCGGAAGATCTACTCTTGGCTTCTGGTATCATAGAGCCCGTGGCCAAGATTTCACTGATCATCTTCGGGGCCGACCTGCTGCATAGAGGCGGATCGTACCACCCAGGCCTGGCAGCTTAACTTGCGCAGAAAAGGACAGAGACTTAATTCGAGACCTAAGAGAGACTACCACGGGTCTTTGCTGATCGACAAGGCTATGGAAACTGGGGGGGCCTTCCTGTGACGGCGAGCGCCGCACTCGGCCAGGATCGCGTGTTCTGCTTCCTGGAGCAGTTTCTCGGCAGTTGCCACGTAATCCTTAGCAGAGCAAAGGAAAGAAAACTCATCAAACAGTCTGGTGCACTCCGACCATTTCCCCAATGAGCTGAAGCTAAGCTCAATTTGTCTTTGTGCGACGTTTGCTCTGACTTGAAAACCTGTGTACACTTGAACCGGTTTAGAAGGTAATTAATATCAGTATGTTTGTTGTAGTGCTGCCGTTTCTTTAACGTTGCAACCACTCTTGGAGACGACATGGCCACAAGACTTTGTCGCCAACCCCAGAACAAGTTGAATCAGGCGGCGCTTGATTGCAGAGAGTCTGGGGTCAGCCTTAGATGATGATTTGGCAGTCTCTGCGCCTGCCCTCGGCGCTTAAGCCATAGCACAACTTCTTCACCCATGCCCTCGCAAGTACACAAGACCGACTGCTGGAAGCAGGTAGAACAGGTTAGAGCAGATGAAGACCTAGCAGACAAGGATAAAGCAGACGAGTCGCTGTCTGCCCAGAACCTCCGGCAGCTGCTTTGGCAACACGATGATCGAGTCCATGCTGTCGACGCTGTTGTTGGTACAATCGCCTCGGTTCCAGTGTCTCAGGGCGGCCCGGCCTCGACCCTCCCAAAGATATGATGCGAAAGCAACACAAATATTTGTTGCCAAACACAAAACAAGAACGGCTCTTCGCGCGCTAGCACTTGAAAAAATGCAAATCTGAACCATGCTGACATCGTCCTGCTCTTTACCAAGGTACTGTCGCTCTGAGGAGCGAGAGGCATGCTCATGCTATCCGCGGGATAATCGTCGCACGCTTGGGCCAGTGAAACTGCAAACATGCCGAAGCAACGTCCACTTTCAAACATGTCCAGTGTCGCTGATATAAGATGCACCAGGTGTTTTTATGGAGTTGAACGTCTCGTTGCAGCTGCTCGCAACTATCGGCTCCGAGCACTTGATGTTGAGAGCCTGCTTTCAAGCGACCTATGCTGACCAGGACAGCCCGCCCAGCAAGGCTCTGCGAAAACATCTCCCGACTAGTCCGACTGGGGCACGAAGCTTGTTCTTCCCGGCCCCACTTGGAGAAGTTTCAATGATCAAGATGCCGCAGTCTTTTTGCAGTACTTGTGGAAGGAAAAGCGAGATGCTCGACAGGCATGGCAACCTCAGGACATTGCATATATGGCCTTAATGACCAGCTAACTTTGACAGACACAATAGCTGCCACGTTTGTTGCAACCGCATGGGTTCATGCTCAGTATTCTAGTCAACGTGTAGCAATGTACGAGCAGCATCACTGCACAGAAGTCAATGAAGCCAACATGTTGTGCACAGCGCCACAGAGCGCTGACCAGCGAGTACAGCATTTCTTGCGCTATCTCGCCAAGATCCGCCACACACACGAAGCTCGAACAGCAGATCATTCTAGATCTCGCACCGACCCTGACTCTCTCTTCCCGTTTTTTGAACGTGTGTTTCAGCAATGTAAATTCTTAAGCTTCCGTTCCAAGACTTGCGTTTCAGCATTGCAGATTCCCAAACCCAAAACCTCAGAGCTCAGGAAGCGTGCCTTCGTTCACCAATACTAGTATCACGACTGGTACTAGTAGCAGTAGTTGCGGTAATTAGGGTAGTGGTTGTTGTAATCGTCGTCGACGAAGCAGTCAGAGCCACTCGACATTCATCCTTTAGGCACGATGCTCGCCCTTGAGCCCTCGGTCACGTCAACCGAGTGTATAGCCGTGCTTGTTTCGCCTATGTCCCCAACAGGCGGCGAAGAGTCTAAAAGCACATTTAGCCAGAAGCCCGGATAGAGCCAAACAGAGGCTGTTGGGTTCCCCATGTGCGGCGAAGAGAAGGGTCCTGGATATCGAGCAGCAACATGACGACCTTCTACAACGAGTCAACCTAAAACCCGAAGCCCCAACCCCTAAAGGCGCGGTCGGATGGATCTAAGCCTGAGCTGACAGCCATTTCTGCGATGTGCAGGTACTCCCTCACCACTCTGTTCTCAGAGGGAAGCTCTTGTAGCCCGGCGTAGCGAGCCGAAAAGTGCGAGGGACCCTAACACAGATCTCTCTAAGCTTAAGAAGCATTCTCTAATGCTTCAAAAAGTCTGTACAAGATCGTGGAGAGGGCGGGTTCGAGTCTTCGGAACGACAAGCTCCCTTATCTTGTGGATTGACCTCTTCACCAATCTAATCCAAGGCAACCCTCGGTTCCTTGCAGAAGAACAGGGCTACTTCGTCCCCGGCGCTCTGAACTTCCACGAGGTGCCACCGCTTGGGGTCTAGGGGTGTAAGGTTTAGGGGTTTAGGGTTTAAACATTCAAATTGTCCCTGCGAGAAAGAACATCGATTGCGACGATAACGTTGATGTTAGCCTTCCGTCTGTCAGGAATTCTCAGAAGAACGCAATGGAAAAACATACACTGCCCAGGAGCCCTGCCAACTCGACTCGATCAGGGATGTCCGTGCATTGGGTAACCCAGCAAATTGGCAATTAGGACTAAACCCTAGACTTAATTGAACCCCTTACTACCCCTAAACCCTAAACCCTGAACTGCCAATGGTCATAAAAACAAGCAGAGCCTCAGAGACCCGGCTTCTCCACCGCCGTCAGATCCCTACGAGCAGCCAAAAATGTCAAACTTTCCTGTGTAGTGCATCTGACATTCGAGGAAGTCTCTAGCACCATGCCCTAAACATACGGTTGATGATCTAAATCCTGCATTACCTTAAGGACCCTAACGTATGGGAATATTACGGTATATTCCTTGTTATGGGTAATGCAGGATTTATATATCATCAACCCTAAGAGTCCCTCTCCTGAAGCTTTGAACTGTATAAGCCTCGACACTTCCTCGAGATCTCAAAACAGCTGAGGCCTTTCACCGGTCCCCAAGCAGATTCAAATGTTGCTCCTACAGCTCGGGGAGGCTCCTGGGCTCCATGAAAAGAGGAGCCCAACTTTGGGAGCACCCGAGCACCTACAGTAAGAGTTTAGGGCTTGGGGTTAAGGGCTTACAGGGCTTTTACGGTGTAGTACAAAGCCTAGCGGCCCGGTAAACCTATAATGTTCATTTGCACCCCGCGCCCAAAAACCCCCGCAAGGACCTAAACCCTAGCTCACATGCTCACAACTTCCGTAAGCGGGGCGATTGAGAAGTCCTCGAAAGAGACCTCGCAACGTCGTAACGGTCCAGGGCGGCAAAGTCGCAGCGGACCGTGCGGTAGGGTTGCTGTAAAGGGTAGGTTTCTGTAAGGGTCGGGTGCTTCTATACGTAGTGCTTGGAGGAGTCGTCGTAGTAGCAGTAGCAGTTATCGTCGTCGTGGTGGGACGGTCGTCGTGGTGGTCGTGATAGTTGTCAGTCGTCGTCGTAGTGGCACTAGCAGTAGCAACGGCAGTAGCAGTAGCGATAGCACAGACCGTGATGGCACGGCAATGGCAACGGCAACAGTAGCCGTAACAGCAACAGTAACGGTAACAGCAACAGCGGCCACAGGGACGATGACAACCACAACAATGTGAAAAGATGCAGTGCCGGCATACAGTGTCCATGTGCTGTTGCAGCAAGTTGCGGTCTTTGAGCACGATCTGCGAAGATCCTCGGTATTCCGATGCTCCTGGTCCTAGTGACCAACAAACAGCTACAGATCTGCTTGCCTGTTGACAACCAACCGCCCTATTGAACCTATTTATTGTTTAGCTCGACCATTGTTCAGGATTTTATGGTAGCAGCTGCACCGAGATTGTTCGCGAACGTGCTCATGCTCCAGAGAAAGTCAGCCAGTTTGCGAGCTGGCATGAGCCTTCCTGTGAATGCGAGAGGAGCCAAGAAATCTCAAACCCTCATCAAAACCCTGACGTTAACCGACGCGAAAAGGCAGAAGCATCTACGGGTTCTCATCATGGCAGCAACAACAGCGTCGGGATCATTGCGAACAGCGGAAAGGGCGGCCGTGCTGCTGCAGAGGAGACGGGCTAGTATGGCATGCTCTTAACTCTTAACGTTTTACTCGTTGCAATCTGGGCATCATCCTCTTTGCTGCAGAACGACATTGCCTCCTGCGCCAGCTCAAGAGCACAAGAAGTCTCTTGCTCAACAACGCCGAACAACTTCGATCTGACAAACTTGCACCTATCTACAACCCTCACTACACTGACAGAGAGTAGCACTAGCAGCACAGCTCACGGACTCGATCCGGCCACCCCCTCTGCCAACACCGCCAGCAAGCTCCGTCCTCGCCCATGCCGTTGCCATCAAGCCAGGTCATCTTGGCGTCGTTCCAGTAACCTTGATCGGCTCGCAAAATTTGCGGAATAATGATAATCTGGGCACAAGACTTGGGAATCACATCACACCAAGTTTCATTGTCCGTAAGCCTGCATGTATCGAAAATGAAACCACTCAAAGTGACTCAGCACAGGCGTCATCCCTTTTTTCAAGTCCTCGCTGAAAGCTTGCAGCAATGCCTGCGAGGAGCCATTCGCTTCCACAGTGTGACGCTGTGGTAACTTATGGGTACAGGGCTCGCTTGTGACTTCTATTTTGGTTCACTTGTGACTTCTATTTTGGTTCACTTGTGACTTCTCACTTTGCGGCCTTCAAAAACCCTGCATTTCCACGGGTTTTGGACGTCCTCCCTCCCTCTCTCCCTCCGTTCCGCCCTCCAGAGACACCTAAGAGGCCCAAGAGGTCCCGTTGTCCTCCTGTGTGCTCGAGCAAAGCAATGCTCCTATTTTCCTTCCGCCATGGAGCACCTGAAGCGCTGGCGTGTTTAAGATATATGTTTAACCGAAATCGCCAAATGAGGGGGCGTGTTTAAGATTTATGTTGAACATCGCCAAATGAGGGGTCGTGTTCAAGACGTATGATGAACCGGTATCGCTAATGGAGAAGGCCTGTCTAAGAAATATGTTGAACCGGAATCGCCAAATGAGGGGGCGTGTTTAAGATATATGTTGCACCGGAATCGCCAAATGAGGGGGCGTGTTTAAGATATATGTTGCACCGGAATCGCCAAATGAGGGGGCGTGCTTAAGGTTTGTGTTGAACCGAAATCGCCAAATGAGGGTCGTGTTCATGATTTATGATGAACCGGCCTCGCCAAAAAAGGAGGGGGCCGGTCTAAGATATACGTTGAACCGGAATCGCCAAATGAGGGGGCGGGTTTAAGGTTTATGTTGAAAGAAATCGCCAAATGAGGGGCCGTGTTTAAGATACATGATGAACCGAACCGCAATCGCCAAATGAGGGGCCGCGTTCAAGATTTTGTTGAACCGCAATCGCCACATGAGGGGGCGTGTTTGTTTGAGATATATGTTGAACCGGAATCGCCAAATGAGGGGGCGTGTTTAAGATATATGTTGAACCAGTATATTGACACTCCGGAAAGCGTGCCGAGTTTCACTTTGTGGTTCCGTGTGGACGGGGCGGTCCAGTCTGGGCGATGACAGCAGCTCCCAGGCTGATGCCCAGACTTGCCCTGCGAAACCTTCAAGCCTCGGGCCTTGCTTTTCTCGATCAGGTTCCAAAGCAAGAACCCCACCTGGCCCTTGCAATACTTCCGCCTGCTTGCATTGGTCGGTCTATTGCTGCTTGAGGGCGTCAGATCTCTGTGATACTTTTCCCAGTCTGCCTGGTGGGGCAAGCTACATTGGATTCCGGAATCTGGATCACAACGGTGAAGAACGACACTGATAGACAATGACCAGGAGCTTCGACATGACATGCGTTGCCTGCAGTCGATTGATCTCCTTCGGATCCTCAAAAGCATCAAGCCTCTGTCACAACCAAAACATGTCTAGTCCCTGCCATGGACTGCACTGTCAACAGCATTCGACGGTGTAGGGCACGGTGTAGGGCACCGGTCTGCCACACATGTGCATGGTGTGCACAAATGATTCAGCATGCTGGCTAAGTATCAGCCGTTCTTTTTGGCAACAGCTGGCCCTAACTGTGAAAGCCAGCCTCAAAAACTTCTTGATGCCGTATTGCTTCATGCGATCTGCCTCCAGCGTCAAGGCCACAGGCAAAAGCACATGCCAAAAAGCTTTCACTCCACGCAAACCATCTGACAAACGAGCTCAGCTTGGTCCACCAACACAGGTTCGTGTGGCCAAAGCAGCTCGTAGCACCGAGCTCGGCTTCGACTCAAAGGGGGTGAAGTGCTGCGGCGCTGAAGCATTGTCGCTGTTGGCTAAGTTGAGACCGAAAATTCCAATACTAGCTTAAACGTGCCATTGACTTAAGCTTCATCTGCAGATTCTCGGCTTTGAGCTTGGCTACCTGTTGTGGTGCCAGCTGAACGCAGTAGCCTCTGGAAAGCACAGTGATGCTGCAAAGCTGGCTTGCAGTGGGCAATGAGAACCGCAGACTGTTGTTGCTGAGAGCCTGACGATTCGACTCTCGGTGCAGTGAGATGATGGTGCCCGCATGACCGTTAAAGCTCGCATGCTGGAGCAGTCCTCGAGCTAATCACTAATCTCTGCTGCTTTAAGGTCCATGTACGGTTCCGGCCTGTGATCGGAACTCGATCTCCGACTGCGAAGATCCTTGCGCCAATGTAGTCCTGTGCTCAAGTGCAAGAGCTTGCAACGGAATCTGTCCGAATAGGGGGCGCCCTTCCAGGAGTGTTGGGATCGGGGTATGTTTCGCGGGTATGTTTCAGGGTATGTTTCGGAGTGTGTTTCGGGGTATGTTTGGGGGTGTGTTTCGCGCAGACTATTAGTAGTAGCAGTAGAAGTAGTAGCAGCAGTAGTAGCAGTAGCAGTAGCAGTAGCAGTAGCAGTAGCAGTAGCAGTAGCAGTAGCAGTAGCAGTAGCAGTAGCAGTAGCAGTAGCAGTAGCAGTAGCAGTAGCAGTAGCAGTAGCAGCAGTAGCAGCAGTAGTAGCAGTAGTAGCAGTAGTAGTAGTAGTAGTAGTAGCAGTAGTCGTCGTAGTAGTAGTAGTAGTGTAGTAGTAGTAGTAGTAGTAGTAGTAGTAGTAGTAGTAGTAGTAGTAGTAGTGGTAGTAGTGGTAGTAGTGGTAGTAGCAGTAGCAGCAGCAGTAGCAGTAGCTGTAGCAGTAGTAGTAGTAGTAGTAGTAGTAGTAGTAGCGGTAGTAGTAGCAGTAGTAGTAGAAGTAGTAGTGACAATAGCTGCAGTAGTGGTACAGGCATCGTTGTGGGCTGCAGGTCTGGAAGGTCCCGACTTGTCAGGCGGTTTGTATCGCTTCGAAGCGGAAAAGGCCAACGGGCCACTTGGAGCAAATCCAAATATGTTTCGGGTATGTTTCAGGTATGTTACGGGTATGTTACGGGAAACCTTTCCTGACCTGTGTTGAGCTACTCTACACCTTCGCCCGCTGCTAACTTCATCCAAACGATTTGGATAACGCGGGGGTATGTTTCAGGGGTATGTTTCGGGGTATGTTTCAGGGTATGTTTCGGGGTATGTTTCGGGGTGTGTTTCGCGCAAGGACAACACTCCTCAAAGACTACAAATTCAACCCCCCAAAAAAAGACTTGAATGGCACCAAGCTACGGGGCCTCTGCAAGTGGCACAGGCTTCACGGGCTCCTGCGCGCAGATTATGCTCAGGGCTTGGCCGACAAGCACAGAAGATTTAAGCCAAGAGCCTCTGGAGCAAACCAGATTCAAGCTAAGCCCCTGGACGAATTGTGGGACGAATGGAAAATGCAAGTCAAGCCTACAGGAGCAACACGACCAAGAGAACTTGCAAGTCAGTTTAGGCCTGAAGCTGTAGGAGGCACCGGAACACAGTTGCAGGTCAATGCTTGTGGCATGCGGCCGGCAAAACTGCAAGGAAATGCTGTAAGTCAAGTCTTTCGGCGAGCACGACTGCGAAGAAGAAATGGATCTCAAGTTTTGGGGCCGCCCAATGAACACTGATGCCGGGCGATGCCTGGAGTCGATGGTTTTTGGGCAATCACTGAGCAAGGTTGTCGGCCACGGGTTCAGTGTGGTGTCCACAACCTCCAACATCGACGACCAATGTATTTCGCTTGATCTGCGCGGGGTCGGCCCTCATGTCATTCATGGAAAACTCTACATCCTTGCATGACTGCATGCCAACAATTGACATACGGGCTGCCTCATGCCTTTCACAGGCGGCTGTCTCAACAAACACTGCCCCCTGAAACCTGCACTCCTTCCTGCGTGAGTTCTGGATTGGCCTCGCTCTATAGGAAAGCAGCACATGCAGACTTCGTTGCAGTGCACTTCCAGTGTGTTTAAGATCTATGATGAACCGATATCGCCAAATGAGGGGTCGTGTTTCAGATATATCTTGAACCGGCATCGCCAAAGGAGGGGGCATGTTTAAGATATATCTTGAAAAGGAATCGCCAAATAAGGGGGCGTGTTTAAGCCAAAGGAGGGGGCCTGCCTAAGAACCGGAATCGCCACACGAGGGGGCGTGTTTAAGGTTTATGTTGAAAGAAATCGCCAAATGAGGGGTCGTGCTTAAGATATATGTTGAACCGAAACCGCCAAATGAGGGGGGGGTGTTTAAGATATGTGATGAACCGGTATAGCCAAAGGAGGGGGCGTGTTTAAGATATATCTTGAACCGGAATCGCCCAACGCGGGGCCGTCTTCGAGAGTTATGTTGAACCGGAATCGCCAAATGAGGGAGCGTGTTTAAGATATATGTTGAACCGGAATCGCCAAATGAGGGGGCGTGTCTAAGATATATGTTGAACCGGAACCGCCAAATGAGGGGGCGTGTTTAAGATATATGTTGAACCGGAATCGCCAAATGAGGGGGCGTTGAACCGAAAACGCCAAATGAGGGGTCGTGTTCAAGATTGATGATGAACCGGTATCGCCAAAGGAGGGGGCGTGTCTAAGATATGTCTTGAACCGGAATCCCCAAATGAGGGGCCGTGTTCAAGATTTATGTTGAAGTATAGCCAAATGAGGAGGGGTGGTTAAGATAAATGTTGAACCGGAACCGCCGGTCGCGAATGAGGGGCCGTGTTTGATTTCTCGAACCGAAATCGCCAAAGGAGGGGTCGTGTTTAAGACATATGATGAACCGGTACAGCCGAATGAGGGGCCGTGTTTAAGCTACATCTTGAACCGGAATCGCCAAATGAGGGGGCGTGTTTAAGATATATGTTGAACTGAAATCGCCAGTAACGAATGTTGGCAGGACTGGTTGCCGTAACCGTCAGCGGGATCCGTGAGGTTGGCAATGACTCAGGGGCATGCGCCGAATGAGGCGGTGTATTTAATATTTATGTTGAACCGGAATCGCCAAAGGAGGTGTTGTGTTTAAGATACAGAACAATTAGCAACCCCTCTCGGCAAATGAGGGTGCTTTTGCCGAGAGGGGTTGCTAAGTGTTCTGTCCGACAAGTCACAAAACAGAGAAGTCACAAGTGATCTGAAGCACATTTGTCGAGACGTGTCGCAAAATCGTGTGTCAGAGAAGTCACAAGTGAACCGAAATAGAAGTCACAAGTGAGGCGCCTCTCGAGGAAAGCCGTAGAAGTCACAAGTGAACCAAAATGGAAGTCACAAGTGAGCGGCCAACCCTTATGGCTCATGCTAGCATACTAGAACATCCATGACAGACTGCTTTAGAGTATATCATGTAGCACATTATGATACTCTCTGACAACTCTCAGGCATTCGGTCCTGGTCGTACTTGGACGCACGCAGACTGCAACCATCTTGCATAAGCGTCACGTCCTTGGGGTGGCGCCATGCGTTGTCAATGCGTCCCCGAGTGCTCGAGGAGCTAAACTATCGCCGAACCCTGCAAACCCCCATGAGACCCTGGAAACCTGTATGGAAATCCAAGCCACGAAGTGAGAGCCCCGACTCCAACAAGACAAACCTAAAACCCTTAACCCTAAAATCCCAAACCCTAAACCGAAAACTGAACTGCCAAGTCTCGATGCTCTTCAGCTGCTCAGTGCCTTCCTTCCAGCGGTCCAGAACCCTCCGCCCCGAAACCTGAACCCCATGGTAAACCAGTGGTAAACCCTAAGTTCTAGCTTCGTGACTGCAGCGACGGCTGACATGTTTCAGGGAACTCTTGCAGGGGGTTGGTTCGGCTTGTCCTGAACAGGGAACTCAATGGCCACTTGGAACTTCTTCGCAGTGTTGATGCACGTGCCGTTGACCCCATACCTCGAATTCTACTGCACACTGCAAATGGAGCACGCCCTTTCCCAGAGACTCCAATATCCCTCAATTAAGGAATATACCTTAAATTATGATAGGATCCCTAACATGATTTAAGGACTATTCCCTAATTAAGGGATATTGGAGTCTCTGGGTTCCAGATTTGTCCATGTTAGGGCTTCGACTCGCGCTCTCGTTCAAGGCAGGCACGGCTTCATGAGGTCTCGTTGCTACCTTTACTACCGTGATATCAGGGCACATGGGCGTTTACACAAACAACACCAAGCCAACACAACAGGCATCATAAGTAGGATTGGGGAACTTGATCAGATGCCCAGTTTAGCCCTGGTGCGCGCCCTGTCATAAGAGGAACCTGCTTCAGTTTCAGGATAAGATAATCAGCACAAAATCCCATATTAGGGTATAGGGTTTAGGTTTAGGGCACCATTTCCATAGGACAACTGCTGACTGCTTGGCAAGTCTCTGGTTGGCCGACCAGTCCCGCGGCCCAAGCCATTCAGTGCCGCCTTCGAGTGCAACGCTGAGACTCGGATCAAACGAAGGACCAGAACTCAGACCAGAGAACTACAAAACTTGCAACGAAAGCAGATATCTCAAAAAACACCCTACTCTCTCTGTCGATAACGGAAAATGGGCGCATCTTCGCCACTAAGCTTCGCTTGATGAAAGGGCTCTGAGTGTTTGTGCCTTCTCCTTCCAAGGCATAAGGATAGCAAGGGCTATGACTTGCCATCGAGTGGCGGCATGACAAGGCTTTGAGTTGGCAAGCTTTATCTTCAGTTCCTTCCGCTAGTTCATGCGCCAGACGAAGGTGAAGGGAGCTTCAGTTTGGGTTCGCAGCGTTTGCATGGTTTAGGGTTTTCAAGTTTAGAGTTTGAGGAGAGCTACGCCCAAGGACTTGCATTGTCCCGCGAGCTTTGAATCGCTCGCAATCCTGTCATGGACCTCCGTTGCTTGTGTCGAACAACCCCTGCGATCAAAAAAGAAGACAGTTTCGATTTCACGTGAATCAGCTACCTGCAAAAAGCGCGGAACCGAAATGGGTAACTCTCCAAGAGATAGATGCGACGCCCAGAGCAAGAATCATCGCCGCCAGAGCCATTTTACCACTAGAAAGAGGAGCTCGTGCAACACAACATGCACAAGAACCAAAAGCTGAGTGCTAACAACAAGATGACAAGGGACTTTACATGGGGGCATCATGACAGGAGCAGAGCCTCCGCCGGTTCCGATGAAGTTGTCCTGCGCTGGTTTAAAGCTTTGCGGGAGTATAAGAATCCCGAACAAGCTATTTCTTGTTCGGTCTGTGCAGTCTTGGCCAGGGCACCCCTAAAACGGACATACTGACGCCTAAATCCTACAGCGCAAAAAGGCCAACCTAAACTAAACCTTAACACTTCCGCTGGCCGTCTGCAGTCCTTCTCCGAGCGAAGGTCGTGAAAGGTGCTGTGGAAGGCCCTCGTGTTCCTCGCGTGAGCAAAGTGTCCAGCGTGCAGGTTGTACCAATACTAATAGTACTGGGGAGTTTTGATCAGTGTTGATTTTATGTCATTTCATCAAAACCAGTAAAAAAGTCCTCGTCTAGGCATGTTTCCTCCGCTCTATTATAGACTCTATAATCGTTATTCCGTTCGACTCTGCGTCTGTCCAATTCCAAACCCGGATAATCTGATCAGACAGATGCACTTCCAGCTCATGTCGCGCGCGGACTGTATTGAGAGCAGGCTCGCTTCTTGAATGTCAAGTTCCAGGCATCGCACACCACAAACGCTCATTGCATCACAGTAGTAGTCCTCAGCTGCACGGATGCTCTTGAGGGATCACCATCCAATTGAACTTTCATCGCCCTGCCTTGCAGTCTGTCTCCCAGGTATTGCCACGAGTCATGGACACGAGGTAAAATGCCGAGTTGCCTGAGCTCAGATGCTTTTTGGTGGGGTAGCCCCAGCCGCCCTTCATGTCGACCATGTCAGGGATCCCTTTAGATTGGGATCCCTTCGAACAAGGATCCAACGATCTAGGGCCTGTGGTAAGAACAACAAGCAACCGCCATCAGCAAAGACTGCAGCATTAGGAGTTTTGCTGTTGCAGGGCTGAAATCAGAAGCAGAAGAAGAAGAAGAAGCAAGCCTCAGGCAAGGGGCAGCCACATCCTGCGCCACTGAGGTCGGTCGTGTACTGCAGCCGTCTGTTTAACAGCGGCACATCCAGGTAATCTTCTTGCGAGTATCCACCTGCCCATGGCATGCGGTTTGAAAGAACCCTCAACCCTGAGCCCAAAACCCTAATCCCTAAAGGCTCAAAAAGCCTAAACAACGCCGCAAGAACCAGCGAAGAACTCCGCGCCTTGCGGGTTGCAGGCAGAGCCCCAGTAGGCTCGGGCTTGGCTAGCAAGGTTGATCTTGGAGTCCTCACTTTACCAACACAACCGACACACCGCACGCACAGTGGTCCAACTAACAGAGGTAAACAGTCGATCAAAGGCAGTGGGACAAAATTTGTGCACGAACTGTGTCAGATAAGCGTCCTCGATCCATGGATTGCTCTCTGCATCGCCTCCCAGGCTCTTGCGCAGTGCTTGCGACAACGCTTGCGACAGAGTCCCCAAAACAAAACCCAAGAAGCCTGGTGTGTTCCCCTCGGCATTGATCAGGTGAACTGTCCCCATGCCAGCAACCTGCCAGGCCCAATGCAACTTTAGAAGTCGTCTACTCCAGGGCATACCTGTGGAAATCGGTCACGTCTACCTCTCCCCAGCACCTCGAAGGTTCCAGCACAGTGGTTCGTCGCGACTTCCCACCTGAGTCACTCAAGCAGTCGCAGACTTTCGCTGAGCAATCCAGTGCTGCCGAGACTCAGCGCCACGTCCGCTGCGCCGCGTAGGGACACAGAAGCTTTGCGGACACCCGTCACAGTGACGAAGATTGCAGCAGCTGCGATGAGACCAGCGCAAACCAATTTCCAGCGGCCACGTCCCTCACAGCAGACGTGAGACAGGACTGACTCGACAGCCACGGCATGATCGTGATGGGTGGAACTGTCCCGTGATTTTGACGAAACTGTTGCACCATGAGGAACATATGCCATACAGCGCTGCTGACGACTCAGATGATGGAAATGCTACAACTCATCTGAGACCTGGCCCAACCAACTTAAGTCACCGCACCTGCTGCTCTGCTGACGACAGGGATGGCTCATCAAGCTCTTCGGCCTTCCATGTGTGAAAATGGCCATGACCTTCCCCGACACGAAGCTCAATTTCTACGGCAGGGCTATCTGATCATACTGATACAGTTCACCGTTCATGTCAAAGCAGATACATCCTGGCCAGCTCTGTCTGCTTTCGTTGAGAACACACCACATGAACCTGCTCTTCCAGCTGATCTTCGAAACCACACAGTTGGGAGCTTCGTGTGGGTATCGCAGTGTCCTGGAAAAGGGTTTGAATTCGGGTTTCGGTTTGACGTCCAAGCAGCATCCTTCTGCAACATGCCAGTTACCAGGAGTCACTTGCCGTTACGTGTCAGCATACGTCTTACATCGCTAGCAACTGCAACGGGAACAAACATGTCGTGATGTCAGACAGACCAACCCTCACAAACGCAAGCAACCCTCCCGTCCACAGGCAAGTACGACTGCGCGTCGTTGTGCTCGCATGTGAAGGCCATGTTTTCTCGCACAACTACTGCAGAAATACGTAGCTCGGACTACCGCAAGTGCAAGCCAAAACTGAGGAGTGCACAGGCATGCATCTCAAGAGCAGTTCGACACATCCACGTGGGCTTCTGTGCTGCTTCACAAGTGAATGTCCATATGCCAGACTTCTAGCTCGCCGAACGACTTTTGCGCTTGGATCCCTAGTAGCTGTTGCACAAGCAATGTGAACATCCACCCACATTCTCGAAGCAAGTGTTTGCTCATCACAAACCAGAGCCGCCAGCACTTCCCCATCATAAACAAAAAGGAGCGGCCGCTGCTGCAGCAACAACAACAACAACAGGCAATGATGAAACTTTGTTGCTGTAACTTTCGATATCAACGATAGTCTCATCAGGAACTCCTATGGCTTGAAACATCGTGAAACCCAGTTGACGCACAACAGCACCGGCCCCGCTGCAGATGCATACTGCCCCAAACCCCTGACCACAAAGCTGTTGTCGGGAAGTTTTACCCTCCGTCACCGTTCCGCCGAAATGCTCGGCCGGGGTGGGCTCATTTGAAACCTCGAACGCCCTTGCAAATGGTCAGCGGCGGTCTAGGCAGTTTAGGGTTTAGGGGGTTCAGGGGGTTTAATAGGTTTGGGGGTTTAGGGTGTTTTGTGTTTGGGGTTTAAGGTGAACGAGCACCTCATGCGACGAGGGTTGGACCAAGGTTGGATGAAGCCAAGCGTGGCACCCCGGACTCGATGCCAGGGTCCCAATCTGTCACTGTACAGCTATACATAACTTGCAGAAGTCGTGATCATGGCTCAACGAATTAAGCTCAAGATCCGGCGTTGAAGACATCTTCAATGTTTCCCGGGTTTCACGTGTGTCACTACACTAAGGCAGTTTTGATCGGGAGCCTGCCCAATGAAAGGAATGTCCACGAGCAGGTACGAATGCCCCTCGCTGAGCTCGCATGGGAAGGCCATCTTGTTCCGCACAACTACAACAACGCCCGCTGCAACGACAACGCAAAAACGAACGCAAAAGACGTAGCTGGTAATGCCTTTCGCAACTCTAGATGAAGGTGGTATTTAAACCAAAAGGTATCGCGCGCCTCTTTGACCATGGGGTTTTGGCACGGTGAGCTCAACCGTGAGTTGCAGCTGTCTGTGTGTTCCCTTTGCAGATGAAGCTTCGGCCCAAGTCACGTATTCCTTCACTGAGGACATGGCGAGGAACTTCCTTAGCATTCGTTGCGACACGTAGCGCACCGCCCCACCAAAATATGCACCATGCTTCACGTCAAACTCGGGATTTCCCAGAAACGCTACGGGGGCCCCAGTGGGAGATTTGAAACCTTCCGAACGCGAATTATGCGGCCGGCCTCTTCTTCACAAACTTCTTGTTGTTCTTGGCGTCTGCCAACCGACGAAGGTTCGTCGAGAGACGGAACACACAGGAAACTTGATGATTATGATGGTGATGATGATGCACGCGTCGATGATGTGAAAAATACTGTTCTTTTCAAGGTTTTGTGTGTCGAAGAACGATGATGATGGATGATGGCTTGCAAACTGATGATGTTCATCGGGGTGGTGGCAAAGTGGACACTCATTACACCCCACCCCACCCAGGGAAGCCTTAAAGCCGCAAAAACCTGCCAAAACCCCATGGTCATCAAGGTGCGCGTTAGCTTAAACCAATTTGCAACATTCGTCCAAACTTTTTGTGCCCGCAAAGATTAAACACTGCTGCACACATGTGCTGCACACTTACAAAAGTGCTTTGTCCCCGTCTCCAAATATCCCACTTCCCACGCGCGGATGGGAAACATCACTTCGTGCCCAACACCTACGCACTCATTGCTCGTCAAGAGCGGCAGGTTGCGATGGGAGCCCGTTGCACCCGCACAAGCAAATCAAAGTATGTGGCTGGGTTCGGGACCGCCTCGGGCCCTGATGGCCCGACACCCATGCAGAAACATGGCCAGATGGCCAGGAGGCCCAAAGCGCTACATCGACTCACAACATGCCGCTCGAGACAAACAGCCCTCTGCGGCTCCAAGACTGCATGCATGTGTGTATTCGATTCGATAGAAAACATGGTTAATTAACTCATGAATGCAAACGCCAAATCCTCAACCCGCGGCCGCGGGCATCACCCCGGCAAGTATCTGGCCAGCTTTGGGAATCGACCGTATGACCAATTTTGACCATGGGGTTTTGGCACGGTGAGCTCAACCGTGAGTTGCAGCTGTCTGTGTGTTCCCTTTGCAGATGAAGCTTCGGCCCAAGTCACGTATTCCTTCACTGAGGACATGGCGAGGAACTTCCTTAGCATTCGTTGCGACACGTAGCGCACCGCCCCACCAAAATATGCACCATGCTTCACGTCAAACTCGGGATTTCCCAGAAACGCTACGGGGGCCCCAGTGGGAGATTTGAAACCTTCCGAACGCGAATTATGCGGCCGGCCTCTTCTTCACAAACTTCTTGTTGTTCTTGGCGTCTGCCAACCGACGAAGGTTCGTCGAGAGACGGAACACACAGGAAACTTGATGATTATGATGGTGATGATGATGCACGCGTCGATGATGTGAAAAATACTGTTCTTTTCAAGGTTTTGTGTGTCGAAGAACGATGATGATGGATGATGGCTTGCAAACTGATGATGTTCATCGGGGTGGTGGCAAAGTGGACACTCATTACACCCCACCCCACCCAGGGAAGCCTTAAAGCCGCAAAAACCTGCCAAAACCCCATGGTCATCAAGGTGCGCGTTAGCTTAAACCAATTTGCAACATTCGTCCAAACTTTTTGTGCCCGCAAAGATTAAACACTGCTGCACACATGTGCTGCACACTTACAAAAGTGCTTTGTCCCCGTCTCCAAATATCCCACTTTCCACGCACGGATGGGAAACATCACTTCGTGCCCAACACCTACGCACTCATTGCTCGTCAAGAGCGGCAGGTTGCGATGGGAGCCCGTTGCACCCGCACAAGCAAATCAAAGCCTCGGGCCCTGATGGCCCGACACCCATGCAGAAACATGGCCAGATGGCCAGGACTGGCCCAAAGCGCTACATCGACTCACAACATGCCGCTCGAGACAAACAGCCCTCTGCGGCTCCAAGACTGCATGCATGTGTGTATTCGATTCGATAGAAAACATGGTTAATTAACTCATGAATGCAAACGCCAAATCCTCAACCCGCGGCCGCGGGCATCACCCCGGCAAGTATCTGGCCAGCTTTGGGAATCGACCGTATGACCAATTGCATATCCAGAGAAGCCAAACCTTGCGTCATTCATCCGAAGGCTAAGATCGTTTGCCAGATGGTGGAGTTCGTACAACACATGACGTCAACCATTGTGCCTTCTCGCGACGTTGCACCTGTTTGCGCTTTTAGTGCCCCACAGCGTCCTGAATTGCCGCGGTGCTTGGACCCGTGCTCCAAAATGGCCGTCGCAGATGCTCACTTCTTCGGCATACGGAATGGCTGGCCAGGAGCCTCAAAGCTTCTTGCAGATCGCGGAGTTAGATGTTGGGCGGGCGCCATGCCTGCTTGCGTCATGTGGGCCTACGGTCAAAACATAACAGAAACATATGGAAAGGGTTCTGGAGCTCCACACCAGTGTACATCGCTTCTGACACAGATGATGGGTGCGCTGTGGCACACTTTGAACGGGAGGCGGCTTCGACCAGCCTGGACATTTTGTCAGGCCACTGCTGCAGTGGAAAGTTGGGAACTTCTTATTCCGAGGAGCCGCTGCTTCGATCCCAAGATTTTGATGCATCTGTGACTGTGCAGCACCGCTGGAACGAATTTTGTCGCTAGTAACGCTGCTGATCTGCTCACAAGTGGCATGTGCTCCCTGCGACACGTGGAGAAGGAAGTCGCTTGCAGTGCTGCCTGCTGCCAAGCGCACTATTTGCACTGCCTTATTTGGACGAACTTGGCTGGAACTTGGTTGCCCTGGAAACTTCCGACCACGCAGCAGTCCGGCGCTGCCGAGTCGGCCATGGCGCAGACCACGTGCATCCAGAAACACATAGTCAAAGCAGAAAACGTAAAGCAAAACAGCAACAACAAGCAAAACAAACTATACTCCCAAAAAACATAATTCCCTCTATTGAATCCTTTGCACCTCCTCCAGCTTCCACGCCTGGAAGCTTCCGACCACACGGCAGTCTCGCGCCCAGCATCGGCCATGGCGAAGACTACGTGCATGTCGGAAAGAACTAACTTGCATTCCCCATTTTTGACGTGCTACTCTGCCACTAGCATAGGACTTGCTCGACGTCAGCTCTTTGTCGTGTAGAGCCAAAGTAGCAAGCGCACGTGCCATCGATCATGCCCGACACCCTATGAAGACACCTCAATTCATTTGCGCAGTTGAATCTTGAATCGAGGCTCTTCTGGGTTCCCCCATGCCGCCGGGTCCTGAAAACAACCCAACACACGGAGCTCGCAGTGCACGGACATTTCCACAGGCCTTTCCGCATGTTCTACAAGAGCCGTTGAGGGCTTATAGGGTTTAGGGCGTTGGGTTTAGGGCCATTTAAGCGAAGCAGCTCTCCAAGAATAAGGCCACGAACTGGCCACAAAACAAAATGCTGCTTTGCTACTTTGACGTGTTGCTTGTCTTGGTTGTCCGGTGCCGCGCCCTAAACAAGTGTGGAGTAACGCGGCGACCAATTACAATACGCTGCTGCAATATGTTCTTTAATGCACCACGGTAGTGTCCCAGATGTCATTGTTTCTGTCTTTCTGTTTTTGCGGCTTGTGGCTTCTTGGCCTTGGCCTTAGCACAACTTGTGGCTTCGGGCTTCTTAGTTTTTTGCCTTTTGTGTGTTAGACCTTGTGTTATATGTTCTTTGTACTAGTGGTTGATGTTGTATCCTACACTGTGCGATGTATATCATCCGAAGCTCAGGCAATCCAGCTTCCAGTTGGCAGCATGACCCTCTGCATCTAAGAATACAATGGTTCAAGATTCTACCAACCCTAAACCCTGAACCCTTACTTATTTGCCTGCCGGTTGCCCTGCGATCTGCTGGAGGCCGTTTTCGAGTGCACTATGTTCAAGGGTGCCAGTGGTGGTATCTTCGTCTTGCCGCCGATCAGGATTTGAGCTCAAGCTGACGAGGGTAGGATAAAGCTGAGCTTGGCACCCAGCAACTCGTGCCAGGGTCACAATCTGTACATCTGTACATAACTTGTAGAGGCTGTGAACATCACTCAACGAGCTAGACTCAAGATCAGGAGTTGAAGATCTCATCAATCATTTCCCTGCGAGCATGAGATCTCGGAGTTACAAGCGTGTCACAGTGCAGTCACTACGCCAACGCAGTTCTGATCTGGAGCCTGCTCAGAGGAGGAAATGGTCGCAAATTCAGCCGGTTTCGGTCTCATAGCCATGAACCCTCCAACTCAGAAGCAGCTTGGTTGAAAGCTTCTTCACGCTGCCGATGCCCGCTGTCCAGGCATGTGTCCGGATCCGCCCTCTGCTCTAGGAGATGTTTCACAGATTTGAGATGATCACCCGCGGAAGCAAGGTAGAGTGCCGTGATGCCGTCCGGCCCACGTGCTTCCACATCTGCCTTGGCGTCCAGCAGCTCTTTGAGCACCTTGAGGTGCCCAAGCTGAGCTGCGATGTGAATCGGACCGGCCCCACTCGACAAGCTTTTCTGCGCATCGGCCCCGTAAAGGCCCAGCTTCCTCACGACGCCGTCTTTCCCTGCCTGTGCAGCCACGAACATCGCTGTCGCACCGCTGCTCCGCATGCCGATGTTGAGCCCTTTCACCCCAGCCATGTTTATGATCTCTGGCACCAGGACGTCCACCACGTCCACATGCCCGTTGTAAGCTGCCAAAATCAAAGGCGTGGTGCCATCATGCGCCGCTGCAAAAACATCGGCCCTGTGTTGCAGCAAGGGTACGACAGCCTCCTGGTGCCCGTTCTGAGCCGCTTTGAACAACGGCGTGGCTCCGTCTTGGCTGCGCACTTCTGTCGATGCGCCTGCTTTCAAAAGCATCCCGACAATCACGGCATGGCCGTTCTGGGCGGCAAAGTACAAGGCCGTCAAACCATTGGGATCTTCCAGGCTTATGGTCGTCGTCTCGCAGGCTGCCAGGACTCGGCTGCAGAGGTTCTCGGGCCCGTTCTGCGCCGCAACCATCAGTGCTGTTGCCCCATCTCCTGTCCTGTGATTCACTCTCATTCTGGGGAAAATGCGATGACTCATCAAACCTTTTCAAAAGCTTTCAAGGAGTTCCAAACATGTTCTGCCGTCTAGGGTTTTCAAGGCCCAGGCTTGGTGCAACTTCTGAGCGTGCAAAAGCAAGACCCGCAGTCAAACCCGAACCCCCATAAAAGAGCACCAAAGAAACACCCTCCAAGAACTAAGCAGATGATCAGATCGTGTGAGTGCCACAGTGAAATAGTATTAAATCAATCAGGCAGTTCTAAGCATTTCGGCATTGCTGTACTCCATGGTTAAGAAGACATCTACACCCTGGTGTTGACCCATCCGCCGTCCTCTCATTCACGTCGGCGCGGGCATCCAACAAGAGTTGCACGATCTCGTCGTTGCAGTTCTGGCAACCAGCGTACAGCGGGCTTGCAAAGGTAACGACGGCGTGCGTTCCATGATCAGGGCCACCTTGCAGGTTGACACGGGCACCACAATCCAGCAAGAATCGTACCACCGCCACATTGCCCTTGTCTGATGCTGCAAAAAGGGGCGAAGCTCCCCTCTTGTCCTGGCGGGGATAACGGCACCAGGGCAAAACAGAAGATACATGACATGCATGCAGAAGCTAGTTGCTGCATTCTTCGCATTCGTTCAGGCACGGCATCTTCTTGTGGCTAGGATGTGTAAGCTGTTGCACACACAGGCCAGATGCTACTGCACTGCAAACTGCTGATTCTGCTGCCTGAATGATGATCCTGTGAAATGCACCGTGTTTCTCACGATAGCCGTCTGAGGTCTCTCGTGTAATGTGCAGCTGTCCCAAACTGCCACCGACACAAGACTGCCTGACCTTGTCCTTTGAACATGTTCCGTGATGTCGGGTTTTACGCATGTCGGGGTAGCGACTAACAGATGTCATCACAACTTGCGATCAAGGTGCGGTTATGTCGAAGTCTGCATTGGCCTTGTGCAGACAACGAAGCTTCTCCAAGTCGCCGTTCCGGCTGGCCCTCCACGCTGCCGTCTGGCCCCTCTCATTCACGCAGTTCGGATCCTGGCCTGCCCACAGGGCCAACTCCAGGTTGCTCGTTTCATTGCTGTGGAGCAGGTCCCTGTACTCTTGGAAGTCTTCAGGAACAGCCTGGTGCACGTAAATTTGAGACGGTCTTTGGAGCTCTGCCCATGTGCCGGAAATGAGGCATTCTCCCTCAGAACCAGTGAAATCAACCATCAGCCTGGTAGTGTAGTATGATAGCCTGAACTTCTCGTGGAGGTGATTTCGGAGCCAATCGACGAAGTCGGGCTTGTCGCATGCTTCATGCTCCGCTATAGTTATAGTGTGGAAACGCACACCGGTCAGGCACCATATCAACGAGACCCACCAGGTCAATTGTGCAACTCCGTGCTTGTGGCTCTGCAGCTTGTTGCAGTCAAGTCTTTGCAGCTGGTGGCCACAATAACAAATGCCTTCGATTTTCGGATAGAACCAGGCCCCACAGGCGAGAATCATCATTGCTGGAAGACCAACGATGACTACGGCCAAGTCGTCAAAAGCGGCCACCAGCTTGCAACCTCTGCCGAGATCCTTGACTTGTACGAATCCCTCCCAATGTGGACGCGGCCATCCGAAAACCGCTGCTAACAACCCTAGGAAGATGCCGCACGCATATCTTTTGCAATGAAAGGGTGCAAGCTCTTCCCTCAAAGTACTCCTCGCACTCTTTACGAAAGTGTGGTGGTATAGCAACATACGGTCCGGATCGGAGCGTGCTTCGAGACGCTGCAGCATCTTTGCCACTTTATCCAAATCGTCAAGCTCACGCTCAAGCGACCAAGGAGGAATAAAGCGCCTCTCCTTGCGCACCTTCAAGGCGCGGAGACTGAGCTTGGGCTGCAACCTGTCCGCACTATGGACCGTAATTCTTCGGGACCTGTCGTCGCACTCCATGAAGTTCAGATCCGTATAACGAGACAAGATCCTACACCAGCTGATCTTTATGAAACTCAGTTCGGCATGGCTTGCCAGAACATGACGACCTTCATGACATCCTCCACCGACGTGTGCTGCACCGAGGCGCGCATCAACGTCGTCCATCAGAAGGCAAGATTCACCATCAAGGGGTGCGTAGTGCAACGAAACACCTGGGAAGGTAACAGGCAGCTCCGTAGCAGCGTCCATGGGCTCTTTGCTGCAAATGCCCATGAGGTTCGTGAGGACGGTCGATGTCCTTGCACCCCTCATGCCGACGAGTAGTTCGGTGGGACTCTTCGTGACGTCCCCCTGCAACAATGGGACATGAACAAATTGCCAACTTTTCAGATGCTACTTGGTCTGTACTGTCTAGTAATTCAAAGTCAGCTGCACCGTCTCTCGCTCTCTCTCTATTCTGCATCAACACTGCAGGTGTGACTAACCAAAGCCATTTGCAGTCGCACACACTGATCCACTGCCTTCTCGGCAACCACGATGTCCATGGGCAATTGCTGCAAGGGACACGCATCCTCGCACGTTTGCAAGCGCCGGGTCATTGCCCTTTGGCGTCAAGCAGTCAAGCAGGGGCTATCCCTTGTCGGTTTGCAACACTGCCATGCAGGTGCTCTTTCGCAGTCGGTTTAGTCCCAACATGTCCCAATCACTCTGGTACCTTACCCCGCGAATTCTGGATAGCTCACATATGCGGTCCTCTTTCAACGAGCTCTGGCCATCACTTGTCACCTCAGCGATCCATGCACTTTGAGATGCCATCAGTCCGAGGCTCTACACAACTTGTCTTAAATCGCGTTGTTCGACAACCGTGGATCCATACTCACGCTGTGCAAGGCCACAGCAGGATTAGGCCTGGAGCGGAATGCGAGACTGGATCTCAAGGGGTGACAAACAGCTGCAGGCTTCTGGACTCAGCAACTAATTACATGGAACACCGATGCTACGGATGGCATGAAGATGTCGCGACACCTGTGGTGGCTGTGCCTTGTCTGGTTGAGGACCTAGCCTGCTGGGCATTTTGGATGGACTAGAGGATCGGCAGCGATGACATGACACCAGAGCGGACGCAGGACGAACAACAGTAGCAGCTGTGCATGCGCCAGCAGATGCTGGTAAGCGAATCCGAACGGTGCAAATGCTCTGCTGCGAACTGGTAGGCAAGCAGCCATCCGATCAAGTTTGACAGAGAAATCGGGTTCGCACGCGTAGCCATCAAAATCAAAACCTAAGCCTGCGCTGAACGACGCATGGCAAAGCTCATTCCTTCATGCAAATACCAATAGCAACTATGAAACGATTGTTGACAACCCCTACAAACTCGTCGATGCATGTGAATGTTAACAGGAAGTCGGAAGAAAAATAAGCCTGCGGTTGACTTGAAACAGTCTTCGGCAATGTAGCTGTTTTCAGATGCGCGAATGTACACTGCGGCAGGCTGCGGCTATGTTATCGAATGAACGCGGCTCTGCTGCTGCCTGTTGTACTTGTACTGACTCCTTGAGTTGGGTGGCCTCGAGGGTGTGGGGGAGGGGCACCCCCCGCTGGCGCTTATGTAGTTCCTTGATATGTCAAGAGCAAGGGCTCCCTAAAGTCCCTACTGAAGTTTTGACCCAACGACAAATCTGTAAACAACAACTCAGCAAACTCCACAGCCGCCAGCTTTCGTGACTACAACCCTATGTGGACATGCGAGAATGTGGGAGACGGGACAGAGAAGTCCCAAAGCCTGTTGCACCAGGGCCCATACGTCCACGCCAGTCTGCATGAGCCGAAGCAGCCTCTAGAAATGGAGCAGCACGAACAGGTACATGGAAGCCCACGGTAGCCCCTCCCAGAGTGTCTGAGGCAGCGGCTTGAGCAATTGTCTTGTAGTCCCGACACCCTCCATCTGCACTACGAACGAGGATGTAAGGCTCTACAAGGCTACCGGAGACTCAGAGCAACAGCGGCTGCTGGAACGCTTCACGTTGTCCGGCACGTGGAGAAGCATGACTCCAGGAGAAGCATGACTCCATAGGGAATGCAAATGCATGTGAGATGCAGCGAGCAGGTGGGGACCATCCGACTTCAATGCATGATGCACAGACATACAAGGTTCTTATGCTAGGCTCTGCCTGCTGTCCACGAAAAGAGATTCAGACAGGCCTGGATACTACAAACGAGCATCATCAAGCAAGACAACAACAAGCCTCATTCAGTTCACTCCCTCTTCAGCATCCGCGACAAAAATCAATTGACTTTGGTTTCGAGCCATGTCATTCGAGTTTGTTTGCAAGCTCAAGAGCCCTAAACATGTGAAAGTTGCAAAGTTTAAACCTCCTTTCCTGGTCACCTCATGGGCGCTTCATTGGCCTCGATGAACAGTTCCTGCGGTAGAATCGTCGAGCTACCTCGAACCTTATTTCCCACGCAACAGCATTTGCGGTCTGGTGCTCAGCTGTGCAAGATGACGAGTGTAGGACAAAGCTTAGCCTGGCACCCGGCAACTCGTGCCAGGGCCACAATCTGTACATCTATACATGGCTTGTAGAGGTTGTGAACATCGCTCAACGAGCTAGACTCAAGATCAGGCGTCGAGTATGAAATCCCGGAGCTACAAGCGCTGTGAACTACGCCAACGCAGTTCTGATCCGGAGCCTGCTCAGAGGAGGAAATGGTCACAAATTCAGCCGGTTTCGGTCTCACCACCAAGAACCCTCCAACTCGGATGCCGCTTGGTTGAAAGCTTCCTCACGCTGCTGCGCGTTCTCGAAATACCTCAGCAAACACACCAAGCCGCAAGCTCCCACAGTTGCACCTGTCGCTCTTGTTCAGGCCAGGCAGGGTGCATGGGGTCGCCGTGGCTCGGCAGCACCGCTGGCAGAAACGGCCCCTGCCGAGCGAAGCCCCGCAAGGAGGCGGCTTGGCGGGCGCGGCCAAAGCGAGCGAAGCCCGGGAAGCCGGTGGGTGCTGACCAGAAGCCGAAGCTGTCCTCACTCGAGGAGTAGAGTCTGGGTTTGGGCTACAGTTGGGTCGGGGGCTGTGGCTGCACTAAGCGGGTTGCAGGCATCTGGCAAGGCTCCCCGGTAAACAAGGCAGCGAGCTTTGAGCTGGCGTAGAAGACGGAACCCTCCGAGTGCCCGGGGACATGGTAGGCTGTCAGGCCCGCAACCTCTGCTTGCAAAACGAATACGGCAAGGCACACCCATGTCTCAGGACATTCCAATTGCCTCCTGGCTGCTCCCAAATCCCAGGGCCCGTTGCCGGACAGCTTCATCTCCACGTCGTGGTACTTGCAGTCCGCAACATGGGCCACACGGACAACTTCCGGAAAGTTCCTCTTCCAGGTCCCATGGTCACTCATGCCAACCTTGCAAGCAGAATCATATCACGGGCTTTGAGCTTGTCCACCCTACACCCTCAACCCTAAACCCAAACCGTGTCTATCTATCTGAAAGGGGAGATTCGATGGTGGTTAGGGTTAGAGTCGCTCCTACGGTACAAGTAGCCATGTCCTCGCAAGCCCTGGGTACACGAGGGATTTTCCGGAAGCGCTGCTTGACAGAAGCCAGAACGACACAGACACTCGACGGGTAGCGGGTAACGAGGGGACACTGCCAACTCGAATGTGCAATGCTTCTGGATTTACGAAGCTCCCTGCCAGCACTTTCCGGCTCTGAGGCGCCGAACCCCAAGCTAATGGAAACAGAAAGCGACATGCATCCAACAACACTGAATCACTAAACCCAAAGGCCTGAAACCTTAACATCCCAAGCCCCCAAACCCTTCATCATCGTGCGTGAGCCTTTAGCACCCTAAGCCCGCTAAACCCCCTAAACCCTCCTGCAAACCAGCCGCAAAGTCATCGTGGGTGAGCAATATGTGCGAGAGGCCACCTGGGCCCAGCCTCCGCACCTCCGCCGCCAGGTCCTATGCCAGGCTGAGCTTGCCGAGGGTCTGGGGTTCAGGGTTTGGGGTTAGGGTTCAGGGTTTAGGTCTACGGTTCAGGGTCAGGATGTAGGGCCAACGCAGCGTTTAGGTTCGTAAGGGTGTATCAGCAGTCCGGCGAGAAATGTGGCACATCCACCAGAATCACCTTGCCATCGTCAAGAAGGCACATGTGCCCCCAAGGACCCAAGCTTCGTGAACTTCGGCCAGGGATGCGGACAATACCTGTCCACGGCATACGTCTGCAAGTGTCTACATTACATTGCTGCATATCCTGCAGCCTAGCCCCGGCATTTGGTTGATTATGTTGCATATGATCACTCTACCTGTTCGCAGCCTGGCACAGCCGTCTCGACAAGGGCGATTTTGGAGGCAAGTGCAATGGCTGCGGCAATGTTGGCACCCATCATGACCAGAGTTCAATGTGCTATGAGAACCGGCTTTGAAACCAAAACGGCTTCACGACGGCGGTGCATCTCGGCTCAATCAGGCAACTGCCAACCTCAACTTGCATGCAGTGGTGATCAGCTCAAACGACTCGTCTGATCGATCTGCGGGAGTTCTTCGGACTTACTAGAACGTCGTGCTCGGATGTTTCATGCTCAGTCGACCGGTAAGCAGGTTCAAAATGCGAGATAAGGTACCTGGCTTCTCCATGCCTTTCACGGCGAACGGCGAAGCGTGTCCGCGTGCTGTTCGGCATTCCGAGGCCGGGCAGGCCGGCTGCTGCTACCTTTCTGGAGTATAGATGTGGTCTGCGAGGCCATGGCTCTCCTGGAACCTGTTCTTGGAGCACGGCGCATCATCTGGAGTCTAAGCCTCCTGGACTTGTCGATAATCCTTGTCACCTGAGATCTGCTTGCAGTGAAATGCCTCTGGCGCCTTGCTCCTAGCCCCGGCCAGGAATCCCGACAGCAGTCGCGAGGCAGTGGAAGCATCAAACCCGACCAAGACCACGGGCAACACTAATTTTATGATTGCCGCTTCGAAAACAGTGCACTCTCCTCCCATGAGCACAGGACTTGGTCTAGTGACTAGTTCAACTTGTGAAGGGATGGATGTATTCCAGTAGCCGGTGCGTACGACATGTTTGAGGGCTCTACTGGAAGAGAGCACACGTGCCATTCTGTGTGATATTGTCGCTGACACAATGGTTCCAGGAGGTAGAGAACCTCTCGGACAGAGCTGTGTGAGACTGGTGCTTCAGTTCTCATGCGGCAGCAGTACGGTACTTCCCAGATCCCAGATCCTTGGAAAGGTTGTTGTGTCAAGAAACTGCTGCGGCTGAGTGGCCCATGCCTCTCCTCTCTCAAACACTCGCTACATTGTGCTGAGAGTCCACCGCAACAGCCTTTTGGGTTGTCCGTAGTCATGTCTTCCATCACAGAGTGACGTGTCCCATATGGACCAAGCGGTCGGAGCTGCTTCGTCGGGTCTCCACACGTCAGGTTCTGATGGAAGCACTTGACCTGTGGTGAACATGTCTACTTCCCAGTACGACCCTTGCGCAAGAGCTTCGCTCAACCCCCGCCCAGCCTTACACCAGACAGACTGCGACGCACACTGCTCGCGTCACCATAACTTTCACGTGTCCCCACCCCGTGATAATGTGTGTACCATGCTGCCGCAGCAGGGTTGCATTTCCCTGCTTTACTACATGCAACAACCAGTCTTAATGCTTGCTGATGCTTGGGTCCAGAGACGCACAAGTCTTCGCGAGTGGAAAATGTACTTTGTTGGAAAGAAGCTGCGCCACTTGCTCGTTCGAGATCACACTCTGTTTGCGGGCTGTCATCAAGCTACAGGGCTTTCGGGCTGCGGGCAAAGTCTTTCTGGCGAGCAGCTCTCCGAACAACGTCTCTGGGACTCATGTCGGAGTGGCGGCAGCCGTCTGAAGATGGAAGCCATGTGAAGCTTTCCTTTGTCAGCTCATGGCTGCATGTAACGAAATGCACAAAACTCGGCGAGTGGAGGCTAGGATTTCTGAGTGACACAGTCTGCCTCTTGCCCAGCATCAACTGATGTGCATGCCTACCGTTTCGTTCGGTCACCATGTCTGGTCTTGCTTCGATGCATGCGCCTGTCTGCATCGGTTCTTGGTTCCATGGTTGGGGCAGAGGTTCTGCAGCTCCGGGCGGAAGTTGGGAGGAATGGAATGTTTTCTGCGTGATGGATGGAGCTGAGTCTTAGTTAGGCCGTCCTACGTGCAGCACTAGAAGGGACTCTGAGTGTTACAAATGGCAGAGAAGCAGGAGTTGGATGCTTGGATTTGGCCACAACGGCCATCTTGGATCGAACCCCAAACGGAATGCATGAGGAATTTGAATCGCCTCAGCAGCCGGCCATCCATTGCGAAAGATGCTGCTGCTGGCTCTGCACCTTTGTGACAGATGCGAAAAGTAGCAGAGCTAGCATCAGAGGTCAACATCGAAGAAACAAGCTTCAGATTCACAGTTCGAAACTGCATGAATTCCTCTGTCAAGATATCTGCACCTCCCAAGCGCAGGGAAAGCATTCGACTGAAGCTGAGGAGCTGACCATGGTCGAAAAAGAGACCCTCATCTCCTTTGCCAAGAAATGTAAAGCGCCAGTGTCTGCAGCTGTCCGCGTCCTACAAAACACTGTTTAGAGATTTTGGACGTGATGTCCTCTTCCATCGTCTGACTTGTAGCACTGGCCCGGCAGCTGCTCGCGCCCACTTCGCCTGCAAAAGTCCGGAACAGAGCAAAACTGTGCATTTCGCAGCATACCAAGCTATGCCATAGCAGGTCCATGTTGTGGCATAAGCCGCTGCCCGTAAAGGTCTGCACACCCCCAGAGCCCCGAATAGCACTTCCATCCTCTCTCCTTTTTGCTTGGCTGGGAGCTCTATGCCTGCAAGGAGGTACGCAGCAGTCGTACGCTACGTAGGTCAATAGCCATGGCATAGGCCAAGAAGGAGGTGCTCTGTACTCTAAGTCTATACATGTGCACACCCACAGCTCGCTCCCAGTTGCCGACGAATCCACAAACCTAAACTTCTTTGTATGAGTTCTGGCCGTTTTGCGGCAGAACATGCAACTACCAAGAAATCGGGTGTCTTAAACACAGTTACTGACAGGGATTGCCACCGTAATTGTCTCGGAAGCAGACCTCCTGTAGAGGCCGTCTGGATGCCTGTGCCCCTTCATGTTTGGCATATCCCGCGGACACGACCACAGCGACACCGTAGTTGTCTGGCAAGCCCACGGCTTCTCGCACCGCTGCTTTCGATTTGAAGCCCTCCATGGGGTTCGTGTACAGGCCGTGTTCCGTCGCTGCCAGCAGAAAGTGCGCTACTTGGAGCATCACCTGCTTCTCGGCCCATGCTTGAGGGCTGCAGGCCTGGGCCAGGGACACGTCCCTCAGCACTTGGGCAAAGAAGGGTGGAGCATCTGCAGGAAGAGGAGGCGCCGGATCAGCAGCGAAGACCACTGAGAAGGAGGACTCGAGCACGTGGTGCGGGTTGGGGCCGTCCATGGCCTCCGCAAGCCTCTGCTTCGACTCCTGCGTGTCAACAACGACCAGTCTCCCGGGTTGCGTGTTGAGGGCGCTCGGGGCCGTCAAAGCGAGCTTGAGCACGCGACGCTGCAAGTCGTAGGGCAGCGTGCGGTTTGTCCATTCCTTGTTGGCAAAGCGCCTCTTCATTGTGTCTTCTATGCTGGAGACACCGTCATCTCCCACTCCACAGGACTGCTGGCCCACTGTTGCCCGGAAAAGGTACAGGAACACGACCAGCACCTCAACTAAAATTTTGTCCACTCTTATATACACTGGTCACACACACACAGAGGCACACGCTATTGCAGTTTCAGCTTCGTGCCTGGAGGAAGGGCACCATCTCGGTGTCAGCTTGGTGGATGATGGTGGATGCTACTCTGCCGTCGTTCTCGTGCCACAAGCTGCTGCAAGTCAGCTAGGTCACACCAGCAGCGAAAATAACATGGAAACGGCATGAGCAATGAAGGAGAGCACAGAGCCTGAACCGGCCCGCAAATCCAATAAAAAATTAAAATCTGAGCTGTATGCACTAGTCACTAGCCGTTAGCCTGAAACAGCACACAGAGCTCTACGGCCTGCAGGGTGTGCAGGAAGCGAAGCTTCAGGTTCTTCGGCGGTGGAACGCACAGCCTGACGAAATCCCCCCGGGTCATTGCACACCCGCCGAGTATACTCCAGTAATCGCTGCTTCCCAAAAGCCTTCGCAATCCCTCTTAGTTAAGCGCGAGGCTTGAAGCAAACCCCCGCAATCGGAAAGCTAACCAGCCAAAATCGCGCGCGCGGGCCTTTCGTCATGGTTTTGTTGCATCTGCTGGGATGTATCTACCAGATATCTGTGACCACAGGAGAACAGGAGAGAAGCTCCCCGTCTCACATTGAGACGACTTCAGATGGGATCTCTCAAGCTGCTGGAGTCCAAGAAACAAGGAACAGCCAAGGCTGAGGACGCACACGCTACGCTGTACATCTGGTGCACGTCGGGGATCGGGCGAGCGGAACTGCCGGTGCACGAAGGACTCGTGACCCGGCTCGTTCGAAACTTTCGCATGCCTCACATACGTTTGTAGCAGCCGCGGCTTTCACTATCTTCAGCCTTTGGTGACAGGAATGGGTCCGACCAAGCCGCCAGCGACAGAAGTCCTCAAGACGGTTCGAGGTCAAGGGCGGGTTGCTGGATGATGCAATACACAGACAGCACCGCTGACCGTGACTTGGTCAACATGGCGTTGTTGTTATGGCAGGGTCCGGTGAATAACAACATGCTAGACTCTTGCTGGCAATGGTGCTACTTCGCGGGTTTCTATCTGCATGCAGTTCTGGACAACTCCATTGCAGGAACTGCTGCACTTGATACGATGCTGATCGATGCTTGGTCGTTCGTAGAGTTTGCTGTTAGCAGACTTGGATTGGTTAGGACTTGCGGGATTGCGGGTTCGACTACAAGCATTGCAGATCGTTGCAGGCTTTGGGGGCACGCGCTGTTTAGTCCTAGCTGTGCGTGTCTAGGAGGCAAAGTTGTGCAATCAGGTATGCCCGCCGTGACATGTAAAATGCACCTGGTGCCCCTCCCCAGAAATAGATGCGGGCCATCGTAAACCTGAAGCCCAAAACGCTGAAGTCACGGCAATCAGGTTCAGTTCCAGGCAGCCGATGATTGCAGAGCCGAGCAGATGGTCTGCAGTGGAAGTCCCGCCCATGGTCAATGCCTGCAGATGAAGTCTCCAAGTCCTTCTGGTGATATGGACATTAATCAAAAATTGTTCAGAGCTTTCGTCGGTTCCGTGGCTAACAGCCAGAGGCGCCAAGCTCGCACCGCACTACGGGCTCTCAGCAACTCTCTGAAACTCTCAAGTCGAAGAAGAGCGCTATTTCCCAAACCATCAAAGCAGCACCCTCTCAAACAGAACCATGCTGAAAAGCTAAACAGCCATGGGGCCGCATCCGATCCTGTCACCAGCAACATGGTGGGGGCAAAGATGCGCAGGGCGCTCGGCTGAAGCGTGAGGAAAGCCAAAGTGCCAATGCCTTCGTTGCAGTATGCGCTTGTACTGCGTCTAGCAAAGTGTGGGCAACTGCAGCAATGGCGCATGTGGAAACTCTTCGGAAATTCGCTGGTTTTGATGCGAGCGGAACCAAGGTCAAAGAAGAGGCCACGTCTCTGTCGCTCTGCGCCCCTAACTCGAAAGGCCTAATAGCCTGAACCAAATGCCTTGAGAGTTGAAACCGTCGAGCCTAAACCGCTACCTGGAAACCCGAAGCCGGAACCTTGACAACACCCTAAAGCCCCTCCAAGTCGCCCAAGCAGATGTCACGGACTCCGACGGCCTTTACCTCGACTGTTGTTGAGAAGGGTTTGGTGCTTGAGAATTCCGGGTGTTTTTGGGTTCAGGGTGCAGAAGTTGGGGTTTAGGTCATCGGGGTTTGGGATTCAGGGTTTAGGGTGAGGTTCGTTTATTAGATTAGAGTTTAGACTTTAGCACGAGCCGCCCATAGACATAGAGTGGCAGAATGATGCACTGAAGCTATTGAAATCTCCCAGCGAACCTTCGGGCACCTCACTTGTGGCTCCGACAACATCGCCCACCAAGGTGCCCAGCCCAATGCAGAAGTCGAGCCATTCACGGGTAGGCCATACCTGGGCGCGCGGAGGTTTTGCCGAGGGATCCGCCCCCCCTCCCAAGTCTTTCTTGCGACCAAGCTGCATGTTCGCGGAGGTGGCAGGATCCAGCAAGCAGCTGAGGCCCAGCCCTCGTCGAATGAGCATGCGGTGCGCTCTCTCCAGTCTACTAGTTGGTACCATTTTATACCCTGGTTTCATCCCTGCTCCAAGAATCACAGCCGGCCTAGGGCACCGATGCCCACGCAGAGCCCGAGGAGCTGGACGGTGCAGTGCATCACGTGCTCCCGCACGGAGGCCATGGTGCTGCAGGAGGCACGGAGATCTGCTTCGAGCATGCGGCTGCGAAATGCGAAGCACTTCTCGAAACTGCATCCGCGGGTCTGCCTCAACACATCGGAATCGAGGACTCAGGATAGGATGCAGAAAGACATAAAGGACCGTTATGCATGCTTCCCGCCTCTTCAGCAGTCGTTACGACCACGCAGAACTTCGAAGAGCAGCCTGCAAGTGGCGCCAAGCAACAAGGCCGAACAGTGGCTTTTCCCACCTCAGGCGCAGCCCTTCCACTGTAGTTTCGAGCCCTCTTTCGCTTCTTGTGCAAGCTGGAAAGCTTCGGGACTCACTCGGAACTGGACTACAGAGCTGCCTTGCACCACTTCAGGCCTAGAGCCTGGACACACTACTGCAAGTTGAAAAGCTCTGAAGTTGGCCGGAGGATGTTCAAGAAGCCTAGACAGCCACCATGCGACTTCTGTACATGCACGGCATGTTCTCAATAAAGCATGAATCAAAACCTGCCCGTCGTGGCATCACGACACCAGAGGAGGAATTGAGCCGCCGTAAGCTGCCACCCTGCCAGACTCTGTCGAGACGCCCGGGGCATCTCGGGTTTCACGACTTTCATGTGAATCACCACATGGTCTTGCTTCACCTCCTTTGTGTAAAGCACACCATTTACCTCCAGCTCCGTCTTGCCGCTGGTTTTGTAGGTGTCAAAGATGATGTCCAGCATCGGCTTGTTGAAGCCGTAGTTTCGTCGATGGTGCAGGTGATGGTCTGCATGGTACTCGTCCGCTTGCGGGGCAACCTCCAGCCTCTGGTGCCCGATCTTGTTCAGAAGCTGATACTTCATCGTCCTGATGGTCATGAACGACGGTGGCAAGCCGAGGGATACCATAAGGAAGATGTCGAACATCAGAGTAAACCACTCCTCCGGAAACCCATTGCCACTAAAGACGTGTGCATCCCAGGCAGTGCCATCGGGAAGGAAGTGATGCAGACGGTGCGCCTGCTCGTAGACACCAGGTAGGTGTGCCATTCTGTGGGTATGGTAGAAGAAACACTCCCATGACAAGAGAGTTTGCTGAAGGTAATTGTTCGGCAGAGGAGATACCCCGAAGGCCCAATCGTAAACCAGCCAAGCCAAGTTCAAAGGCTGGCCCCGGCACATGAGAAGCACCAGCACAAGGTATGTCTTAGACTGGAAGGTGCCCCAAGCCATGTGGTACAGCTGTTTTCCTAGTGGTAGCTGCTTGGGCTTGCCATCTGGGCATCGCCAGCAGGCGAAGCAGGCTGTCACAAGGAAATCTACCAATAAGAGCCAGAGCACGAACATGTAATTGATCTCTATGATGAAGGTTGGCAGAGAACTGAGGTGGCCCAGGGAAAAGACCGGGACAAGCCTGTCGATACCGCTCAGGACCAAGGCTGAGATCAAGAGGGGTAGGTCCAGCTGCACCAAGTACATGCTGAAGATCATCAAGGAGCAAGCCAGTGAGAAGGGCGCCAGGACGAATTGGAGCAGGCCGAAGGCAAAGAAGATCCTCACGTCCGAGGTGGCGCAGGCCACGAAGACCCAAAGCGCACGATGCCCCACGAGGAGCTCGAAAGCTGACCGGCCTCCCCAAGGAGTTGGACCGTGCTCCCGGAGATGTCGCCGGAGGCGCTCTGCTAAAGCTTCGAGCTGCTCGCTGTACTCCTTCAGCACATCTCTTGGGACTTCGATGTTGCAGGAGTCGACGCTGGTGTGGATCTCACGAGGAACCTTCGAGAGTGTCCAGAAGCCGGAGACAAAGGTCCACAAGAAGCTCACAGTCAGCTCGGCGTAGCTAAGCAGTCGGTCCATGGCAACTCTACGACACTCGACCATGCAGGCCTGGGCTGGATGTGACTCGACGGCAAAAACTGAGCCGTCATACGCAAGTGCCCGTAGCCATGAACCGAAGATGCATGCATCTCCGAGGCTCAGACTACCAATGAGACGTCACCAGCAGTGGGCAGCTGGAAGCCTTGCTTCAACCGGTGCACTTCTGTCTGCCGGCTTCGTTCTCAAACGGTGTGTGCCCAAAGCAAGCAGGCGAAAGCACCTCACCAAGCAAACCAGTGATCCGGTCATCCCAAGAAAGATTTGGGGCTGCCTATCATGTCCGGTTGAAGCTTCAGGTGCGGGATCCAACATCATCTTGCTAGGGTGTTTAGGCATCACAGGATTTCGAGGGTGTCTTGCATATTGTTACCGCCTTCGACGGGCACTTGAAGGACCTGAGTCGCGGGCGAAAGAAAGGAACGAGCGTCACGGGGTGCTGCTGCTTTCGCAGTCGAACTGCATACTTCTGTCACATCAGGGAAGCCCGATAAGAAGAGATCACGAATTATGAATTCAACGCAGTGTATTCTAAGAGGCAACAACAGCATGGAGTTTTCCAGGTATGTTGCATGTGCTGCGGCCTGCGTGCCTGCAGGAGCCAGTTATGTCCGTGGTGTTGACGTGGTGTTGCCACTACTGCAGCTGCTGTGCCGAAGGCTGCGGCTCGGGCGCACACATGCAGAAACCACGCAACGGCGACTTGATGCGCTTGCGCGACTCAGAAGATGAAGATCTTCGAGTCTCCTGAAGCCAAGTAAGCCCAAGACCCCTAGGGCCCCTACCCCTTTGACAGGAGCCATCAGGAGCCTAAGAGCACTGGCTGAAGATCGAAGTGTCAGCTTGGGAAGGAAGATTTTGCCACGGCCCTCGATTCGCAGCCTCGGGGTCTCCACCCCTGCGTGAACAGACAGAGAGGCTGACGATCCATGCACTGGGCCTCCCTTAGCTCCGAGACCCAAGGAGTCTGGCTGCAATCCGCAAAATGGGCTTGGTCTCTTGATTTTTTCTTTGAAGGATCTCGGAGCAAGCTCCCGCCCACAAGACGTCTCAAGATCAAATTTGATGTGCCTCGATGAGAGACGTGAATTCAAGCTGTACAGGCTGTGCTGGGCTGTGGTCCACTATCACTCTGCACATGGGCCTTTGAAGCCAGCACCACTAGCGATCGCACCTCGTAGGATTGGCGGCCGGGGGCGGCTTCTGGTGTCGAAGGGTGCACGAAGGCGGAGTGGAAGCAGACTTGTGGACTGGAGTCTTCGGCACTGTCGTAAGTCTTGAAGATGAGAGCCTCCTGCCGGGACATGTTGGACCAGTAGTACCAGCGGTGCCTTGGAGAGAAACGAACTCCTCGACTTTCCTCCACAATTTCTTCTGGGGCCCCTTTGCTAAACCCATCGCATACTCCTGCCCCGCTGCTCCCGCGCTGCGTCCAGGCAAAGGTGTCCTCTGAATTGAGAGTGCGCTGGTCCAAAAGGGCGAGAGGGTCGCGTCTGAGCGGCTGCTCAGCAAGGTTGCCCCAAACGTTCACGAACCAGAAGTTGCATTCACCCTGCAGCAATGCCTCCCTTTGCTCTGGCTTCAGTAAGGTTTCTCCAGTGGGTCCCGGTGACGTCCCCATGGCTCTAACCCTGGCCATAGCACTGTTCTTTGCGTAGTCGCCATGGATTACCTTGCAAGTGGAAGCTGCGGGACCATAGACGGAGCCGTTGGCAGGAGGTGCTTCACCAGCTGGGAAGGCCCGTAACCCAACAGGTACCAAGGGAGACAGCATTCCACCTTGACGAACCTTCACATCGAACGGAATGATGTGGCTGGCTGCTGGAATCTCTCTCTTGAGCACTGCCGTCGCTCTATCCGCGATCTTGCTTCTCATGGCTGCATCCCGCAGCACGTCCATGCTGGTGCATGGCACACCATCCAAGTCCATATCAGACATCTGGAAACCGTTCTTCTCAAGCGAAAAGATCGCTGTTGAGTTGCGAGCATCATATATCGGCATCGTCTTGGACATTATGCCCAGCAATGGCCGCGGGATGGGGTCCAGGTAGTTCATCACGGCATCGACGGAAATCTCCTCCTATGTCGGAGGGACACAGGCCCACCGCACGAACTTCCTAGCACTGTAGTGCATGCCACCTGGTGTACCTCCCTTTTGAGGTTGTTGCCCTTCTGGTCCTGCACTGGGGGTGGGAGCTCCGGTCTGTGGCTGTCCACGCCAAGCGCGAAGACCTCACGTCGCAATTCAAAATCTGGCTGTCGACAGCTGACATGCCCACAGACCGAGGAGCTGACCAGCAATAAAATCCGTGAATGCATCTCCTTTGGCCACTTCAGATGCCAAAGTGTGAGCGAGATCGAATGAAGAACTGCAAAGAGTAAGTGTCTTTTCACTCGTGCGCCTCTCTTGCTTTTCACATGCCAAGTACGCACGGGGGGTAGTAAACGAATCATGCCCCTCTGGTTTGAATTTCGCAACGAAGGACGGTGTCCAACAAGTAGGTGCACCTGCTGGAAGTGCCGGGGAATCTACACATGTCAGCACTCGCATCAGACATCTGCACCCATGTCAGTAGCTACGCTGACGTGCACACGGATGTCGATAGCTGTAGCGCTTGATGGTTGGATTGATTCGGACAGATATAGACACCATGCAGCTGCATGTGTTTGAAAGGCGCCCAGCTAAAGGCCGAGAAGCTCGTGGGCGAAGCAAATCTGCGGATCGAGACTCAAGATCCTCGTTCGAAGGCTCTGCCTGCAGCCGAGAGGTGACGCGGGAGCAGTGCAAAGCGCTTGAGGCTTTTAGGGCTTCACTGCATGCCAATTGCTGTGGGATCAGGCCTTGAAAGAAGACCAGGAATACGGGGCAGATGGACGCTCCTGCAAACCTCAGTTGAAGGCATTGGGGCAAGTGCCGATGCGGACAGCCGTTGTTGAAACACTCAGTCACCTGGGGCCTGGCAGACTCCCGTCGCGTGCCGCTTCCGTGGGACGCCGGTTTGAGCCAAAATTGCGGGGGGCATGCTGAGACCTGTCGGAAACAAAGCAGTGCAGAGTGTACCGGTTGACTGGTACAAGAGGCCGTGTGACGAGCGGTCGGACCGGCTTGACTTTGTGCGTGGACGGGTCTGGTCGAGGTACAAGCCTGGCCTTCAAAAACGGCCCGTGATGTTTCCATGTACTTACTTGTCTCAATTAAAGTGGGCTGAACGAGACCGGCTCAGACATATATCCAGAAAATTCTAAAGACCGCAACACAGAAGCTGTACGGCTTAGGGAACAGACTTGAATTAATTAGCCGGTTCTAACAGCAAGCAGATGGATGAAAGCACAAACACCGTAGAAGTAGCGACCATACTGTAAACAGTGAGGCTGGAAATAGTAGTCAGTAGTCACTGTTAGAACACATCATGAGGTACCGCATAAGGAGACCAACAGAGCTCAAACGAAGAACTTCAGTCGATTTCGCATTTGTGATTCAAGGTTCTGCCCGCTCTGGACTTTAAGAAGCTAGAAAACACAAAAATACTCAGAACCAGTGAATGATGGAATCTGCTGGTTTTCCCAATGGATTTGTTTATTGCGGACTGTAAGGTTGACAGAGTGCTGACTGTCACTTTGCACGTTGCAGCACCCTGGGACTGTAGAACTTCATCCCTTCGAAGCTAACTCGGTTGAAGCCACCGAAACGAGTCAGAAGTTATGGCTGATGGCTGGCTACGAGCTTCATTACGCTCGTCAAACATACGATGCAACACTATAGCATTGGCTCCGAGGCTGAACCCACACGTGACACTGCTTTGTGTCGAGTCTAAACGCCAAACCCGACCAGCCAATTCTACCTCCTAAGTCTCGACACATCAACCCCTTGAGGCTTAAGGACGACCCAGACACCCCAACTTCGGGAGGGTTATACAAGGGCCTTAACAATTAGAATAGGGTTTGGTGGTATAATGTATCATAATTAGAAGAAGGAACCCCCAAAATAGTATAGGTAATTACTATAAGGCCCCTATATCATAGAACCCTTCTGTTAGACCCCTTTAAGGGAACCCCCAAAATAGTATAGGTAATTATTATGGCCCCTATAGTAACCCTTATTCCTTAAGCTTAAAAAAGCCAATGCCCGGACAGCAACCACCAAGGCAAAGGCCCATCGGCTGCTAAAGTTCAAGCCCCGCCCAAAAATGAGAACTGCTGTACACTGCCAGATGTTTATAGTTGTTTATATCTTAGGGACAGATGTTGAGCCAGGGTTGGGGCTTAAGGATGTTTCTAAGATGGCTAGAGGTACAAAGCCATCGCTGAGGGATTCTCGGTGCGAAATCCTGCTCCGAAGCACTGACACCCAAGCAAAAACACATGTAGCAATCATATCTCATCACAAGAACCTTGCTTTGTCAACACGGACAGTCCAAATATCCCCAGCCCCACTTTCCCGCCCCTCAAAAGCCGCACTGCCCATCACGTGCCGAACGAACAGAAAACAGAAACAAAGGGAATCCTAACGCTCCAACTTCCCCTGTCCACCTATCGAGGTATCCCTCCGAGGCCTGCATTGTGCATTATATACGTACATAAACCCACTGCAAAAGAAGGGAAGCCAGCTACTTTTCCGGAAGCTCCCCGGGGACCTGCACACTGCAGCTCTCCAGCGACGACTTTGCGCAACTTTAATTGCCTTTGGCAATCCTAAAGAGACTTCTTCCTGAATATTGTAAGGTTGAGGGTATTTATCGGTGTTGAACATGGGGGCAGCACCCATGGAACAGATGAATGGATGACATGCTCGATTTGGGCTTCGCATGCAAAAGAGTCTAAGGTCATTCGAGATTGTGACGCCCACTTGGGTGGATTAGGGCCAGCGATTGCTGTAAGGCTCAGAGATGCTACCATTAGCGTGGCAAAGAGCCTGACTTTTGATGAGGCGCCAAACTCCACATACGAACCTTCGTCAGACAGTTCACCAAGCCCTGCTCAACCCCTAGCCCTATACTTGCTGTCTGTACAAGCACCGATGAACCTGGCTCACGCAGTGAAACTGTCACACTCGTCACCTGGCCAGCTGCTGCCAGATATTTAGGAGTACAAAAAAAGGTGACAGGAGTACTAGCAACAATCAAACCAGTAAGGATGTCAAACATCCGGGCACATACAGAGACTGGGTGCAGGCTGCTAGCATTGTGCATGGCATCCGCTGACCAGCCACAACAGCTGAGCGTTTGCGCTGCGCGTACCATGGATGAATACCTGAATAGCCTATAACCCTCCTATTTAATCTAAAAACCCGAAAACCTGCAGTTTAAGCCTGTAATTGTAGGTATGGCCAAGAAAAGAAGGCCGGTGCAAATAAGATTCGCAAGGAGGACCGACTGAATGAACACAGCCCCGGGGTCCCCCCCTATCCGACAATGCAACCCTTTCCCTAGACCTCCAGTTACCTACTTGTAAGTTACTGGTTACATGCTATATAGTCAGTAACCAAGTATTTAGGTAGATGGAGCCCTAGGGTTTCATGTACAAATGAAGGTGCAGTCGTGACACTCAGGTAGGAATCACAGCAAAACACCCCATGAAATGGCGAGGCAGCGACTGCTACGGAAGGTCTCGGGATCCAGCGGAGTAGCATCAAGTCCCTGCTGCTTCACTCTAAAGTAGAAGCCAAAAAGTTGGAACATGAGTTTAGGAGGATTGGTGCTAGGATCCCCTATACTTTACCTTGAGGGCATGAGGATAACTTAACGATGTTCCAAGTTCCTGGCTTCGACTCTGCAAGGTTCCGCCTTCACTCCGCAAGCTGCGCGTTCATTTCGGCGAAGTCGCTTTCGATCTGAGGGCAGGCGAAAGGTGCGCAGAATCGCAGCATCAAGGACTCAAGAAATCGACCCTGCACTCAAAACCAATCCAGAGCCTCTGAACCCCAAACTTTCAAACTTGCACCACAGTTCCCCGCAAAGGCTCGTGGATTCTACAGGCCAGGGGGTCAGCTCCCGTGCAAAGGACCGAGAGGGCACGTACAGGCGAGTGATGGTGCGTTCTAGGCATAAAGCCCTGCACCAGGCGCTACCAGTCTACCCGATACCTTCCAGTTCCATGAGCATGTCTCAAACTATTGTTAGATCCGACAACACGAGATGCTAACATGTCCTAGCGAGACCCTACAGCACGGCTTGAGGTCAGCGACTCGGTCTGGATACTAGTTGTTTGTTAATTTCGAGGACACATGTGCATATACTCGGAAGTCCACACAACCCACTTGCACTGCCGACCCTGCTAGAAAACCACAGCCTCGTTACTATAGAAGCCTGGACAGATAGCAAGATTATTCCTTGAGGTTCCTGACTACTCATTTCTGTACCATGTACCCCAAGACACGGTTCTAATTTTTAGACGCGACGATCCCCATATTTTTGACACCCTGAATCTCCTTACTTCGATCGTACACTCTGGAGCTCAAGCCTCTTTATTCGACACTTCCATGTAGTACGCCACTTAAGCAGATAGCAGCTTCTTGATCCTCCAAGACTCCCAGACAGTTTGCCTTGGGGTTGGGGGTTAACCTTACCTCTAGCAGCTTTCATCCTGCTTTCCGAACGCTAAACTAAGTTCTTACCTGGCCCGTGAAAGCAAGACCGATTGTAAATGTTCGATGCAGCCATCTTGTCTTTCACTTAAACCCGTGATGCTGCTGGTGGTGATGATGGTGATTAACGATGGCCAGGACAAACTATCATTGATGAGTCTCTCTCGCTCTCATTCTTACCAGCTTCGTTTGTAAGTACACTGGGGCCCCTGCAACCCAACGCATCAGTCGGAGGAAACCATGGAAGCGCAGAAGGCCCGCCTGCGTGCATCGAGCACGCTGCACTCGAGTGTAGATTTTTTTCAGAACCCCCGGCCCCGAAGCCAGATTCAATTGTTTATGAAGACGAAGCATGACAAGCTTGCAACATAAGAAACTGCTCAGTGTAGTCAAGCACAGTAATTTCGTGCTCCAACCAAAGCGCTATATATACTGCTTTACACCAACCGTAGCCAGTACATGCACTACCAGTAAGGGAGCCGTTGGAGAAACGCACGGCCATACGAACCGTTTTGTCGCAAAGTCGATCGATTCCAAACAACATCAAGGCTCAGCCTCATCAAGCCTCAGCAACACGAACACGGCCAGATTTCCGGCCTTGTAGATGGGCTTACAGCAAAGTAAGCACGCTGAACGTTGGCAGGTGCCAGTGTCAGGCAGTATCACGGCACCGATACTGCAGGACGTTCTGTCGCCCCTGCGACCTGTACAAAGCCTCCCCTCAAGGTCGACAATTTTCGTGGCACAAGATCAAAGGACCCCATGAACTGCACTTCCAATGCCAAGCACCTCCGGCATCTAGAGCCATCGTGTTGTTCCACCCCAAACCGTTGCCCTAACCACCAAAATGTGACCTGGGAGCGGTCCTGCAGTACCTCTCACCGCCTGATCGATCGCAGCCCGGACAAAACTGAGCGCATTAAACGAACGAGTGGAGAACTGAGGCGGACCCACAAAAATGCTGAAAAGCAGCGGAATCGGAATGCAGTCGAATTGCAAGACACGCTTGAGCGCCTGTGAAAACTGGCCTTCAGGTCCGAAAACTTGGGCCTATTCACGTTGCGAAGCTCCATGTGCTCTTCGAAGGGACAGCTGCTGACAAGTCCCAAATTCTCCACCTGCAACCGTCAGTCAGACACGAAAATTGCTCGGGAATGCTCAGGATCTTGCCAGATTTCACAGACATGCACTCCGGCAGTGATGACTTGGCAGCATCACACGACTCTTGCCTGGACATCATAATCTTGTTGGATAATGGCTCCGTAATTCAGCAGCATCGCCATGGCAAAGCCTTAAACTCAGCCAGGTCGCATCCGACACGACGGCATCCGATGAGTGCTGAGGGCACTCTTATTGGCTGGTCATGGCATGTCATGACGGTCCGATTATGTATCTTGTGCGTAGCTTTAGGTCCCAGTGCGACGGCAGCATATTGCCTTTGCCCAAGGAGCGCTTCATCGGACAGCTGAAAGGACGATTTCCGAAGGAAGAAGTCCTAGCGCGTTGCAGGCGTTACACAGCTGTTTCTGCTTGTCTCTCTCTCTCTCTCTCTCTCTGTCTCTCTCTCTCTCTCTCTCGCTCTCTCTCTCTCTCTCTCTCTCTCTCTCTTTCTTTCGCCAGGGCTATGGGCAAGAGGTTTGACCCCCTTGCCCGCGCGCTTCAGCGCCCCCGACTGTTGCGGAGGTGAGCATCGACAAGTTGCAACCACCGGCTCTTTCAGATCAAAACGGAAATCTCATCACTCAGCAACTGCAATCAGGACAGCCACGAAATTCAGGTTGCAATTGATGGGCCAACGATCAGGACTGGACTTCGAGCTGCTGAGACGGGGGTATTCCCCGACCGAGAGGTTCCCATCAGGTCTGCCGGTTTGATTTGTGGGTCGGTCCACAACACTTCAGGGTGTGGGGAAAAGTAGTTAGAAGGTCAAAGGCTCCCAGATGCCAGGGTTCGGGGGCTGAGGTCCATGTTGTGGGATTCCTATTGTTTCATGATCTTCGACCCCGGGGACGTCTCCCCGCGCATGCCAAGGTGATACCTCAGCGAAAAGCCTACTGCACTTCCACCTTGTCAGCCGGCTCTGTATGAGATGCAGAAAATCAGAAAAGCACAAACTCAGAATGGAAACCCCCCTAACCCCAAAACCGTACGTCAAAAAAAACCCTTGGGTTCTGCATCTTTGGGTGCAGCGTCACTTCTTTTACTTAGCCTGGCCTGGGAAAGGAAGCAACAAGCAGTCCAAACAGGGTAAACACTCTCTCTCTCTCTCTCTCTCTCTCTCTCTCTGCCAGGTAGGGAAGAGGCAGCGGACGCTACCCCCTCCGCACACGAACGCGCACCTGCAGTCCGCAGGATTTTGGTCCTTCCCCTTTTGACGTTGCCAAAAGGGGCTCGGCTGTACTGCACTTCAGTACGACCATCCCTTGTCTGAACGATTCTGTCCCCCACACAGTTGTAAACAGCAATGCTAACACAATCAACCGTTCAGCTTCTCAAAGGTCTCCCGCATTAGTGGCCTCATTTCCCCTCTGTTTTAGAAGGTGGTACAAGGACTCAAGAGCTCACAAACTATCTCAAGGCCAGGGTTGTCGTGCAAGTCAAGCAACAACTCACAAGTGCTCGCAAACAAAAAATGTACGACAGTCCCCCGCACTGGCACTAACACTCTAGTTGAGCGGGGTGCATGCAAACGGGTCCCCCTAAGTTTGGAGGTCATTACGCTCACTTTCTCGGCTTGACACAGCGAGAAAACAAAGGGCTTGCATGGAAAAAGAAAGGGGCTTGCAACTTGTCACGGCAGGAGTATATTCAGTGCGGCTTCAGGAAAAAGGAATACTCTCTACAAGCAGGTTTCAGGGTCAGCTGGGCTCTAAAGACAACAACCAAACTACAACATAGGACGACCTGAGCGACCGACTTTCCCCCACTCGCAAGGACTCTAAACGAAGTTTGCAGACCCTCTCTCTTTCCTGGGCATAAGGACCGGTTAAAAGCCCACCCGATGATTCTTATCGGGATAAGGGGAATGACGAACGAGTGTAGTATATCCTTCGGCTGAGGCCATAAAGTGTAGGATAATGGATAATGGATTGTTTCTGCTTCTCTATCCGCCGTTCCAAGCGGCGTGTTGGATGTTGAGAGGTGTTAACCTCCCCTTTAAATCCCGCGTATCGGTCGTTTAAGACGGTCTGACCCAATTACCAAATTCTCACGTTTGACCCCCCCCTCCCCCCTCCCCCACTAGTTCTGCTCCTCCTCCCCATACTCCAACTCCTACTCCGCCACAACTCCACTCCTGCCACGACTGCTAGCACTACTGCTGCTGCCACAACAACAACAACTACTACTACTACTACTACTACTACTACTACTACTTCTGCTGCTACTACTTCTGCTGCTACTACTTCTGCTTCTACTACTACTCCTTCTGCTACTACTACACTACTTCTCCTACTACTACTCCTGCTGCTACCACTACGACTACGAGTAGGACGACGACTACGAGTCTTGCTACTGTCGGTGAGCATCTTTGCAAAATCTGGATCAACTTGCCCACCGCGGTGCCTCGCCTCGGGTTAGCCTAACGTCCTTTCCTCTAACTCCTGCGGGATCGGCGGCTTGAGCCGAGAGGCTCTTATATCGGGCAGCGCTCTGTCCCCGAGCGCTTGCGTCCTGTGTGCTCGAGGCTCGACCGAGTCTAGCCATTCTAGCTATGCGTCAGCAACAAGCCACGATGCCCAGTCCCGCCGACCCGCTTCATCGGACCCTCTTTTCTGCATTGGGCCGCGCGGGCTTTCGCCCGGAGGCCTCTCGGAACGCGCACGGGTTTCGTAGCCACTCCGCAGGCTATGGCGGGTTTCGGGGCCCCCCAGCAGGCGAGAGCATCATGAGCAGTCGGGCGCCCGCAACCGGCCCTGCGGCTCGAGGCGATGTTTTGCCAGTTCTTGAGTGGGTTTCGGAAGCCCCAAAGAGGTCGCGTGGCCTTGCTTCAAGCTTCTACCTGCACTGCCCGCCCGTGGGCGCAGCCCCTAGAATCTCTCTATCTCTCCCCGGAAGGAAGGTCTCCGTACCCCGCATACCCCGTTTAGGAGTGGAGAGACTTCAGACTTCAGGACATGGCCCGTCTTGCCGACATTGACCCAGAGATGAAGTATGTAGATGACAGCCTGATGAAGCAGCAAGTACAAACAACATGCTAGGTGAGACCTCTCCGCCTTTGATTCATCTCTGTCGCCACGAGTCAAAGTGGGCACTGGCAGTGTTCCCCCATGCACGGCAGCATCCCACGTCGTGATTGCCCTGCCAATGCCCCTGACAGTAAAGGTGGAACTGAACTTCGAGGGGCTTCACAGCGGCATGTGCAGCCGGAGGTTAACCAGCAACACTGCAACACGCTTCTCCTCTCTCTCTCTCTCTCTCTCTCTGTCTCTGTCCCTGTCTTTCTCTCTCTTTTTGTCGTTCTCACTCGCAACTCTCATGTCAGTCCTTTCAGACACTACCTTCTCGGAAGCCTCGACCTCCTTGCCGGGCACCGGGCCAGAATTATTCCAGAAAGGGCGCCTTTGTTTGTCAAAATAGTCTCTGAATCGATCCTGCCAGCTTGCAGCTGCACGAGCTGAGCCATGCACGTCTATGGCTTGAACAGAACGGCTGGACAGAATGCTGGGCCTCCTTGTGTTCATGCGGCTCGTCAAATTCCATGCCGGCCCTTGCAATGGCAGGCAGCAAAACCGATCGGATGACATATGACTTTCATATGACATATGATTGGACTTTCAGATTGATCTGCATCTTGTAGGGGGAGCCCACCGTACACAGCAGCCTCTGTGCCAAACAACTTGAAAAGAGCCCTAGCCAGGGGGAAGGGGAAGACCTGGGGCATGCTTCGAACACGAAGCCACGAGATGTGGGTGCACTGTAGTTCAGCCACGAAGCGCTGGTGGCGAGGAGACGATAATGTCGCCGTCAACAAATTGAATGCCACAGCATGTGAAAGCACTGAGGACTTTGTAGGGCATCAGGATCGGAGCACTTGGCGGGTGTCGACGCATCTCTTCCACCAAGACGTTAGCAAGCTTGAGGCTGCCATCACGTAGGCACGACAAGCGTTTCGAATCTTGCAAGATCAGGGTCAGCCAATAGCCTCCATTGGCCATACTCTGTACCCCAATCAGAAGCAGAATAAGCATGTCGCTTCTGATGGTTTCCTCCATGTCCTGCAAACAGGCACAATCAGGGCGCAATGCTGTGCAAACGTCTTC